AGTGCTCCAGGGACACCTCGGGTGCTCCAGGGACATCCGGGAGTGCTCCAGGGACACCTCGGGTGCTCCAGGGACATCCGGGAGTGCTCCAGGGACACCTCGGACCTCGGTGCTCCAGGGACATCCGGGAGTGCTCCAGGGACACCTCGGGTGCTCCAGGGACATCCGGGAGTGCTCCAGGGACACCTCGGGTGCTCCAGGGACATCCGGGAGTGCTCCAGGGACATCCGGGAGTGCTCCAGGGACATCCGGGAGTGCTCCAGGGACATCCGGGAGTGCTCCAGGGACACCCCGGGTGCTCCAGGGACACCTCGGGTGCTCCAGGGACACCCGGGAGTGCTCCAGGGACATCCGGGAGTGCTCCAGGGACACCCGGGTGCTCCAGGGACACCTCGGGTGCTCCAGGGACGGGAGTGCTCCAGGGACATCCGGGAGTGCTCCAGGGACATCCGGGAGTGCTCCAGGGACACCCCGGGTGCTCCAGGGACATCCGGGAGTGCTCCAGGGACATCCGGGAGTGCTCCAGGGACACCCGGGAGTGCTCCAGGGACATCCGGGAGTGCTCCAGGGACATCCGGGAGTGCTCCAGGGACATCCGGGAGTGCTCCAGGGACACCCGGGAGTGCTCCAGGGACATCCGGGAGTGCTCCAGGGACATCCGGGTGCTGCTCCAGGGACATCCGGGAGTGCTCCAGGGACATCCGGGAGTGCTCCAGGGACATCCGGGAGTGCTCCAGGGACATCCGGGAGTGCTCCAGGGACATCCGGGAGTGCTCCAGGGACACCCCGGGTGCTCCAGGGACACATCCGGGAGTGCTCCAGGGACACCCCGGGTGCTCCAGGGACATCCTCGGGTGCTCCAGGGACCCCGGGTGCTCCAGGGACATCCGGAAGTGCTCCAGGGACACCCCGGGTGCTCCAGGGACACCCCGGGTGCTCCAGGGACATCCGGGAGTGCTCCAGGGACATCCGGGAGTGCTCCAGGGACATCCGGGAGTGCTCCAGGGACACCTCGGGTGCTCCAGGGACACCCCGGGTGCTCCAGGGACATCCGGGAGTGCTCCAGGGACACCCCGGGTGCTCCAGGGACATCCGGGTTCTCCAGGGACACCCCGGGTGCTCCAGGGACACCCCGGGTGCTCCAGGGACATCCGGGTGCTCCAGGGACACCTCGGGTGCCCCAGGGAAATCCGGGAGTGCTCCAGGGACACCCCGGGTGCTCCAGGGACATCCGGGAGTGCTTCAGGGACATCCGGGAGTGCTCCAGGGACATCCGGGAGTGCTCCAGGGACATCCGGGAGTGCTCCAGGGACATCCGGGAGTGCTTCAGGGACATCCGGGAGTGCTCCAGGGACATCCGGGAGTGCTCCAGGGACACCGGGGTGCTCCAGGGACATCCGGGAGTGCTCCAGGGACACCCGGGGTGCTCCAGGGACATCCGGGAGTGCTCCAGGGACACCTCGGGTGCCCCAGGGAAATCCGGGAGTGCACACCTTCACTGGCATATGGTACAGATAATAATGGCGTGTTTCTGGAGAGATTTGTTTTAATATCTTATTACCAAGGCTGGGACATACTTTTTAAAAAACTTTCTTCGGTTTTTACACACGTTTTGTTGCCGCTGGAGGCGGCTAATTTATTGTGCACTCCATACCCATCCTGTGAGCGGTAGCGCAAAAAGCATTACAGAGGGCACAAAAGGTCTTTATCAGACCTCATCTTAGATTATTACATAAACAGTTTCATCTATCCTTCACACCTTATAGTTACAATGTCAGCTAGTTACAGAGAAAGTGCTATTTTAAGAGCTTTACATTTACAGTAGGTCATTGTACATTAATGGTAGGTCTTATCGCTAATACATAATAGCTTGACCAATGGAGATCGTCATAGGGTAGCTTAATGTCCCGTTTTCTGTTCGTAGGTCCTCTGGTAGATTAGGATAGGTTACCTTAATACGACAGTTTGACGTTATATAACTCGACGATATAAATGTTTGTCTTGAATTTATATTATACATTTCAGCAGATTGCATGTAGTGTCCCTGAGACTCGGCGATCTGTACATAGTCTGTTTTCTTCCAGTTATATTAACATGTATTGAAATGTTGCCCAACGCAAACACTGGATCCCAAGTTATTCACTCACTAATGCTAAGAGATGACGTTTGCAGCTCACATTGACAATATCCGCTGTTTGTGTTGCTCGTCCTGTTGTGTGTTGTGCCTGGTGCGATAGATTGATGAAGATTAAGCCACCCAAAAGGTGGCACGGGCATGGATAACCCGTAAGTGGTGGCCCTTTTGAGCCATTACCAGTATCAAGAGCTGATACTGGAGATCTCTGGAGGTGCAACTGCACCCTGCGTGACGGGAGATGTCTCCCGTGGTGCGATAGCGACAAGGGCCGATATATATCTGTGCGCCGTCTGGTGTTGACGGATAACTAGCGACTGACATTAGAACGTGACGATATACGAGATCGCCGTTATTCTCGCAGCATTTATTTGGAAATTTGGTCAGAATTTCCCACATTTAGCGCCTTACGAGAACGTCGAGGCCATCGCTATGACACTTCCAGGAATTTCCTGTCGTGTTCTGCTGGAGAGTTTTGAAGGATTAATATTTTTTTGTGATTCCTTCCGCAGCAACGCATCAGGAAATACAAATGCCAGATTGAGAATAGACCATATTTCAGACGTTTCTCAGGGCATGGCTTAAGGGCTTTATTAAAACCTTATTGGCGAAACCTTATATGAAATAACGTCAACTCTCGACCGGGATTCAAATATTTCTACGTCATGAAGCAAGTCATTCTGAATACGGGGAGGAAGTTCAGAAGGTTGAAGCTTAGTTGATATTTACATCTTCGATACACTTCTTCCTTAACGGGGTGATAACAGCTTGAGCTACCTCATCCCCTTATGTGTGTGTGTTTATACCTCGATAAACTTGTTCCAATTTCTTCCTAAAATTAGTGTTGGCCTTGTTATGCCGAGCTTATTTTCTCCATCCTCTCATCTTTATCTTATTTCATTGACACTAATTCTTCGCTCCCCCCAATAATAAAGCAGAAGACAATCGACTTGAGAATGGTCCAGGACGGACCGAAACGTCGTCGTCCCTTCAACTTCTAGTGTGTGGTCTGGTCAACAATAAAGCAGAAGTTACTAAGGTCTTACTCAAGCGGGAGTATAATAACTATCAAAATCGTCCACAGGTAATGAACCAACCTGCCCTCTTGCAAAGAACGTCGCATTTCGATCGTATGCGTTACATAAGGCCAACAGTCGTCGTACTAGAACATGGAAGCGGCTGGTGGAAGTGAAGTACTGTCCCGTTTTCTGTTTTGGGTCCTCTGGCTTAGTCTGCAACCCGTTCTCGCACTTGTTTATGGTAGGTTAGGAGAGGACACGTTAAATTGACCGCTTTCTTGACGTTGAAGACCTTAGGAGGCCGGGCTGAATGAACACCTCGCTACCTGCAACAATAAAGGAATATTAACGCTTTCACCTTATTTTACGGGCTCACCATAGCCCGTGCTACATGGACACTCCGTCCTGAATAGCTAAATCTTTAACAACAACAACAATTTCACCTTATCTCAGTCACCCAGGATAAATTCCTTAACAGCGCTCCACGCACGTCTCTCAATTATGGTTAAAACAATTAAAGAATATCTGAGGACGAGGAGAAACGTCATTTTTTATCCTGTAAAGTGTAAAGCATTATTGGGCGCATCAAGCTGGAGAAGCCAGTTAAAGCAGGAACGCAACTATTCCGTAATTATTGACATATACCGGACACCGCACCGGACGGAAATGATGGTGCGATTTTTAAATATATATTTTAAGAATCTTGCCTGTGGTTGACGGGACGTTGGACGGCAGAACTTGCGACTCTGCTGTCGTGAGGTCCCCTCTTCATCCTCACGCTTGTGGTGCATGTCACTCTGAAATAGCTTGTGGGGGAAAAAGATTAGACCTATGTCCATCCCGTACATCTACACCATTTTCCTGATATATATATGGGGTGAGTATATGTAGACAATGAGGCACAATAACGTGGTTGAAAATATGATGATCAAACCACACATCAGAAGATGTGTTTTGTTGTGTTTTATTGGATATTTAAAAGTTACAAGATGTACATTGATTAATACAATGAGTGCTTAAAAGTTATGAATCTCTTGGGGTCCCTTTGCTTCCAGACAGGAACCAAGGACACAGGCAATTTCCCTCTGGATCGCCACACTGATGCAATGAAACAAGAAACTGGCAACCCTCGGGTCTCGTGAAGTCATCGAGCCAGGAACCCAATTCTTTGAGAAAGCCCAAGGTGTTCCTACCCCAGGGGCCGGGCATCTCAGTCGCTATGGAAACAAAGGTGTATTGACCTTCCAGTCGTCTGGAAGGTCAATAATTCTAGCATGAATTTTCTCTATTTTTCTTCACTTGAGAAGTTGAAAAATGAACTCCCCACAGTTCATTTTAGTGATATTGGCCTGACACTAAAAGATGCGTTTCGTTGACCCTTGTCAACATTATGAAAGGCAAAGTACAAGTAGTTACAATTGATGAAGATTAAGCCACCCAAGAGGTGGCACGGGCATGAATAGCCCGTAAGTGGTGGCCCTTTTGAGCCATTACCAGTATCAAGAGCTGATACTGGAGATCTCTGGAGGTGCAACTGCACCCTGCGTGATGGGAGATGTCTCCCGTGAGTTACAATTTTAGAGCAGCTGAATATATAACCAGGGGTGAGGTGAAGCACTTCACTATGGGCAAATAGGCCACTGCAGCTTATAAATCTCCTTTACATATATATATTCAAAAACCAACTTTGAATATCTATATAGTTGGGAGAAACGTTTTGTATTATCCACCTGGTAAAACAGCAACCGTAAAGTTTAAATTTATTTCACAGGTCATTGACACTTGTTAAGCATTCCAATAATGTTAATGTATTGAGTAATTGAGAGTGGGATTTGTTTCTTCCTCAGGTGAAGGTAACCAGGAGCTGAAAGAGTTCCTCTCATCGCGTAACCCTCGCCAGCAACATTCGGCGACGCTCGAGTCCTATTTGATCAAGCCCATCCAACGCATTCTCAAGTACCCGTTGCTCCTCCAGCAGCTGAAGGCCCTCACCACGCCGGGCTCCGACGAGCACAGACATCTTGTGGGTATGTACATTGACTACACTCCCCCTAGGTGGGTGCCTACCGCTTCCCCTAGGTGGATGCTGCTGCTATCTCTCCCCTAGGAACCTGCTGTTGCTCTCTCTCTCCTAGGTGGGTGCTGCTACTGCTGTTCTCCCCCTAGGTGTGTGGGTGGTATACATGGACTTTGGGATATGAGTACTAAGCAACACTAGTCTACTTGAACACTTACCAACCAGGTTTATTAAGTAGTGTGCAATGTTTGCTTAATCTTGGAGAAACTCATGCATGTTGAGTCAATTTTATGAACAATGAGAATAGGGAGGAGGGTTATCTCCCTATTATTACCCTCCCCCCCCCCCACCTGTTCCCCTCCCTCCACTAAAATATCTCCCTTGACTCCCATCTTCCTTACCCTTCCATCACACTCCATTTCTCTCTTTCCTCCACTTCGCCTTCCAAATATATGTACACAATCCTTGCCTTAATTGTATAGTACCATAGCTTTATATAGTAAGTACAATACTTTAATCATTAGCATGTTTCACTGTTTCCAAAGCTATTACTTGCTTTCATTACATATATCAAGAGCTTTGAGTAATTTAAGTTTTAGTTTGTTTTCCATAGTGTTGTTACTGTCAGTAATACTACAGCACATAAACTGCCTTGCCTGAGCCATAACATTTGTGTGTTACCAAGAGCACTGGCATGTCTCAAGTGTAAGAGTCTCTTCACATGGCAGTGTCTCGGTCCTTTCATCCAAGACTAACATAGAACAACTGCAGTTGTACTATGTATTCCATATGGGTCCTATATTGGTCTGCATCCTCGGCTCACAATCGAGGAACCTGGGATCGATCCCGGGGGGGGGGGGGGGGGGACAGAAATGGTTAGGGCATTTCCTTTCACCCCGATGCCTTATTCATCTAGCAGTAAATAGGTACCCGAGGAGTTATACAACTGTTGTGGGTTGCATCCTAGAACAGGTCAGCAGGTCAGTAGTTGGCCTAGGTGGATCTCGATAAGCTTAGGTACAGGCTTCCTGTCTCTGATAACAGGAATATATATATACTACTGTGTATACTGTGTGTGCATATATTCCTGAGACTATTGGATATCACTACCTGCTGCCACAAGAGTACTAACTTGAAGATGAAGGGACACTAGAGATGCTGACTAGATGAGATACCATATTACAGTTAATTTAGAGTAAAGAATGCTTTCCACAACCAATGCTTTTTATATTATTATTGCCCCCCCTGGTTTCAACAGTTAAACACGTAGTCCTGTATCTTATTTTATATAGAAGTCATTGGGTCTGATTTCACATCTTGTTTGTGATAACAGAGGCCCTCAAAGTAATGGAGAAGGTAGCAGAACATATCAACGAAATGCAACGGATCCATGAGGAATACGGTGCAATATTTGACCATTTATTCCGTCAACATCAAAAGTCTTGCAAACAAGTGAGTTTCAATAAAACCTCTTTTACAAGGACATGTACTGATAAATGTGTAACATGACTAATACTACTCAGTGAATGGATGTCTGATGTGAACTCTCCAAGACACCCTTTATTCCTGGAATGCCTTGATTAGGTGACAAAATAAAGCTTTCTAAAATATATTTATAATACTTATATTCAATATAGGAACCTAGGATCTCACGTGATCCGCACCTCCCACAGCCAGTCGACCTATCTCCAGGGGATCTTCTCTACTACGGAGGAGTCGAGTGGCTCAATATCTCGGACTTCTTAGGAAAAATAAAGAAAGGATTGGAACTTCATGCCATGTGTTTCGTCTTTAAAACGGCTGTTGTCTTCCTTTGCAAGGAGAGATTAAGACAAAAGAAAAAGCTGATGGTTAGTGGTGTTGTAAGTGACCACAGTATCGTGTTTCTTGTATTTCTAAATGATTTGTCACCGTACGCCATAATTCAAAGGTCATATGCAATAAAAAATTATTTTTGAATTGCAATTTGTTATAGAAAACAAAATCTTACTGCTTGTAGTTTTCATAAACATAATTTTTCCACACCAATTTCCAAATGACTTGATTTCCTGAGCCTGCAAGATTGTTCTGAAACAAGCCTGCCAAAATGTCACATTGTTAACAAATGTGATAATATATTTTTTACAGTGAAAATGTATAATTTTTTTTTATTTTTGAGATTATTTTGAATTCATACCCATTATAAAGTTTTTGTTTCACCATTTTAAATAATAATATAATAAATAAATAAATATAATAAAAAGGAAGAAACATTTCTCCGATATAATATATTTTACCTAACAGCCGTATTGTTCAAAGTAATTATCGACAGGAGGAAATCAGCTTGGAAAACTATTTAGCACCAGCTGCATCACAAGATATTAAACAATTTCTGGATGTCAATTAAGGATACAAATACAAGAGAAAAAACACAAGATGAACAATGTCAAACGTAACAGATTCATAGAGAATTTGATCGAGGAACACAAGACTCGAAGGATCATTGAGAAAGCAAGATTTCAGATCCTGAAAATCAGGACATTCTATGAGAAGGTACTCGATTGTTAGTGGGACAACGGAGATCTGACAGTAAGGTGCTGGTACTATATTTGTTCTGTTACGTGTCTATGAGTTAATCATGTGTGACCAATACCTAACAGAGCTAGAGATGTTTCCCACATCTTGTTTCAGTGGCCATGGGGATTGATTGCTTTTTAAATTACGTAATGTGTTATCTGTAATAGCTAACCATTCAACAAATGACAATGTCGTTATGAATGGCAGAATAAAAATCCGACTGAGTATTTGCTTCTGGTAAATGAGACAGGCACAAAAAAGTATCTTTAACAACAGTGTCCATGAGATTATTAGAGGCAATAAATTGCCATCCACACTTCTGTGGAAATAATAGTGCTACGGCACTCACACGCGTGGGGTCCGCAGTTCCAGACCTATGCAGTCCAGGTGAATGGAATTAGAGGCAACACAGCAAAATGACACTTATATGTCCTATAGGTGATGAACAGCCAGTGTTGGATATCAATCACCACGGGATGTGAGGGGGTTAAAGGACCAACCCATCCTCAACAAAATTATTATACCTATAACAATGGATGGAATGTTGAAAATATGAACTGTTGTACTAACAAAGTTTACAAAACCTATCCAATGCCTAATGTGCTTCCTAGTGAAAAATTAATTCTTATGAAGTACAGTAATAGAGCTTTATGCAAAAGGTAAAAATACCCCCAAATCACATATCTACTTTTGTGTTGCCTTGGTTATATTCAATTAATTTTCTGCCACGGGTGCAAACTGAAGAACATGCAACTCCCATCGTGCTATTTTTGGGGTACTTGAGCAGTGAGCAGATGCTTCTCATGACTGCTAGGTGTTGCCTTCATACTTGTAACCACTTCTCTTTAATCGAGCAGTGTCATGAAGATCAGAATCCTCGAAGGATTTAATTCATAATTTGATCAGAAAATCTTTGTATAAGGCTACTAGTAATTTTGCAAGAAATCTTGATACAATTGTGACCCATAATTGTCCAGGAAATCTTCACATAATGCAATCTGGGAATGGCCAGGAAATCTTCATTTGAATTGACCCATAGTTTTAATATAAATACAGTAATGAATTACTGCAAGCATTGAAAAAATCATTTAAGTGTTACACTGCCAGAGCAGCAAAAATGCATTTTCGCTATTTCTTTTGTAATCAAATTTTGTTCTTTTTCTCAGATATGATACTGTACTCCAGACCATCCTCCTAAAATGAAAGTACTTATAGTAACCATTTAGTCAAAAGTACCAATATGTAGTGATGGACTCAAAAAAAGTTTTGTATTATTGAATTTGGCCTAATGGGATATTTTTGTTTTTCTCAACATATTCTGCCAAGGCTGCAAGCAACCCAAGGGTGCTCCTAGCAATCCAAAGTTAAATACATGCTATCTTAGGCCTAATATAGTACATATACATGCTATAAAAAGCCTATAAATTTTTAAGTTTGGTTTTAGCTTTATTTTCTGTACCCCATGAAAGTATATACAGCAATGAAATTTTTTGGTGGTTCATTGATACATATTTGTACTTTCGACCAAATGGTTACTATAACTACTGTGCAATCATTTCAAGATGATGGGCTGAATACTTATGACAAAGATTTTATTTGTACAAATTTTGTAAATGGTTGCATATGATCTTTACGTTAATCTGCTTCTGACACCTTAGTTAACACTATTTCCATCACACTCCCCTTCCCCCCCGTCATGCCAATAATTGATCATTCTATATAAGAGATACACTACAGAGATTTTTGTGGATGCACTGAAATGTTGTCACTTGCATTTCATGTGTATAAATTGGATTACAGTGTTTGTTTCAGCCACATTATTGTAACTCATTCTCTACAAGTTTGTGTGATTTCTGTGTAAGATCTTACAAGAGTTCAGCCTTTCTAAGGAAACCTAAAAGGAACAGTGTCTTAACGCTGTTATTAAAGAAAGCTTCTTACGGTATATTTAATATTTAGATGAGAGCCTATCAGGTTAAAAAGAGGACAAAGACTAGATGCAAAAGTATGGAGAGCATAGTGAAAGTTGAAAGATTGTTTTATAGATCAATAACACAAAAAGTGAGAAGTGTATAACAAGCTAAAAATTGTACAGTACTGGAACTAAGAGGTCTCTTGGTAATAAAAACCAAACATTGAATGTAATGTAAATACCCTTTTCTGGTAGGGCCTTCATTAGCTCTACAAGGTGAAGGGAGCTTAGATACTGTATGCCCAAAATTTAGAAAAATCCTCTGTTCTCATCAATAAGTGAGGAAGGAAGAGGTCTACCATGCTACAACAAAAAGCCACAAAGGTGACACCAATAGGTTCACATCCCAACCCCTACAGGTGACACTGGGACTGGGTCTGAAACCACGGCTAAACTGGTTACATGAGGGGGGGCCAACAGGAGGACTTGACTTGTGAATATCCCCAGTCTGGTCAACACTGGAAGCAGCTGGACCAGAGAGAAGAGGTAAATGTAAGATCATTGACTCAAGTCTTAGTGAAAATCCACCATGAAAATCTTGTGATCTGGAAATGGAGTCACATAGACTGCAAGTCATTAATGCCACATATACAAGTGAGCCGGTTTACCTGTGGGGGAATTGGCTGAATTTTCCATGAGGGCAGAGAAAAGTAGCCCACGCATTGAGATCGAACATAAGTGGGAGACCATCCAGGAGGATGTAAGCAAAAGATTGTCCTCGAGGACATTCAAAAAGCCTCCAATGTGAACTACACTAAATACTATATTCTGAGGGGCCAGAAGCCATCCTATATGCAGAGTCCAACCCCATTTCAGGGAGAATGAATTGAACCCCCTTCCTCTTCCTAGTTGAGGAAGTGGATCATTAGGAGGCATTTCAAATGAGGGCAGAGAGCACAGCCCTGCAAACTACCAGATTGTGATATGTCCACCACAGGCAAGTAGCCCACTTATCTATGCTTGGCATGGTGGCAGCTGAAGATAAACATCCAGCTAAGGTATAATGCATATATTAACTGTTCTAATGACAGAGGAGGGGGCACCACGGATTCGAACCTCAAAGCTGTAGAAAAAAGTTCAGATGTCCCCATATCACAGTCCACTGATCATCCAATTAAAAATTTGGTGGGAAGAATCATGCCATCTGTCAGACCTGGACTAATGCCAGAAAACATACCTGTTGCTGAAGAGTTGCAGGGCACCAGGGGCTATTACAAACACCTGGGCAACTGGTATGGCAAAACTGGGCATGCCTGGGACTGGGCACCTAGGAGCACTGGGTGTGTCTTATATTGTAATGTGGACATTGAGTTGCCAAGACTTTACATCGTGGGAAAGGGCAAACCCAAAAAGGCACAATTGACCACCTTAATAGAGGAACCCGTTAGAAAAACCTGAACACTAGGGGGTCACCACTTTCCAATCAAGTGACTGTGTACGACAAAGTTTGCCACTTATCCAGGAAAAACAAGGGGTTATCCACCAGTCAGGAGGACACCAAGACTTTGTACCATAGTTAGGAAAAAGAAGAAGAAAACCCACACCCAAAAACATTTGGTTTCATCTCAGATGCATGAGTTCAGTCTCAAAGCAAGTCTGTCCAAGCTAAAGCTGTGGAAAATTTGCATAAAGGAAGTGTATCAACGCTAGTAACTGGGACCCGGGAAAAGAAATGTGCAAGGAAGATTTCCATCCCTAAACAATGGGACATCAGCTTCCACACCACCAGGCCTCAGCCAAGGATCACTAAAACCGGAGCCACGAAGTGGGATCCCGCAGCCTGAGAAGTTCGCATATTTCAAAAGTGATGTCATATTGATCCAAAAAGAATAGTTAAGGAAGCAGTATGCAAAATATGAGATAGGATGACACAAACACAAAATCAGGCTGATTACCATAAACTAGCAAATGATAGAACTTTTCATCAGCAAATTATAGTATTAAACTACTGTATGCTATATATATATTTGTTCACAACACTACTTCATCTACCCCTCTCTCCTTCATTAATCCATACAGTACTGATATCATGCTACAATGTGTGTTTAGCTCAGAAAAATTCATTTGTGGAATGCTGTATATTGATTTAATATATAAATATATATTCTGTACTTCCTTTTCATCTATGTATGAATTTATGATTCATCCTGTCTCTAGGGAGCACAAGGGAAGAATAGCTCATCTGAAGTAGAAATAATTAGGTACCAAGTGTTAATTCCTGTGACAGAGGTTCAGGTCCGTGCCTCCTCGATGAAGGATATGGACTCTCATTTCCTCTGGGAACTAATTCATCTTAAAAGCCAACTTCAACGTCGGTCCGAAAAGGTCTATCATCTATCAAATAGGTAAGTGGAATAATACCAATTTTGAGGTAAGATAGGTGTTGCTTGCTCTTAATAATTTTTCTCAATAAGACAGTATGTCATTCTTCTTCTTAGCTAGAACTGTCCAATTAGACCTAACTGACAGAGATTGTTTTGCTAAATAGCCAGGGCTTATGCAGCTCTGGCTATATCATGCTAATAAAGCTGAATACACTTTGTCTATCAATACATTGGTTAATGTTTTTTTTTTATAAAAAATAATGTTTTTTACTTTCCTAATTAATATTTTACACAATGCCATCTTTAACTCAACACACTTGTTGTCCCCCCCCCACTTTGTGCCTCTTAACTATTGTCTGTCATGTGGCAAATCACATTTTAAAGAAGCCTTAGATACAACTTGTATATCTTTATTGACCTCTGGTCAGAGTTCAGGCTTTGTATTTTTATAACCTAAATTCAAGCTCCACATTAATTACAAAAAAATTATCCTTCAAGTGCAGCAGTTCCTTAATTTATGCATGAAATACATATTTTTTTGGAGGGGAGGGGGGGGTTGTGACCATTGATGTTTATAATATATATAAATGACCTAGATGTAGAGATGAATAGTAAAACCACCAAATTAGTGGATGACATGAAAATGGGGAAGTAGCAAAGAAATGAAGACTTGGCATAACTCCAGAAAAGAACTCATCACACTGCAGAATTGGGCAAAATAGTGGCCAATGCAGTTCAATATAGATTAGTGCAAATTTCTACACTTTGGAAACAACAGTGGTATTGACTAGCAGATAAATGATGCAGATTTGAGCAAATGGAGTTGATAGGGATATGAAGGGGGTGTTGACTTTCAGAGACCTGAACATGGACAGCAATACTGTATATCAATTCACAGAACAAAGCAAATGGGATGCTTGGGTTAACCAGGATCATTGGAAATAGATGTTCAAGCATTATCTTTCAATTATATTTGGCCCTGGTGAGACTATGCCATCCAGTTCTAGTCACCACAGTACAGACTGGACACCAATTCTTTGACCAAATTTAACATAAGATGACCAGTGTACTCCATGGTTTTTGGGAACTCCCATACAAAAAAAGGAGGTTTGAATACCATAGTTCAACTTACATTAGATGGAGAAGCACATAACTGAAGTCTTCAAGTGCACAATGGGTATCAACAGGGAAGATATGGGCAAGTTCTTGAAACTTTCATCAGACCAGGTTGGAACTTGTAGTATTGGCTATAAGCTGGAAAAGTTCAGATTTGGAAATTATAAAGGACAGTACTGGTTTGGCAACAGTATGGTAAATGAGTGGATGCCTGCCACATCATTGAGGCAAATTTCATAATTACCTTTAAAAAGAGGAGTGATGGGTACAGGGGGAAAAGGGGTTGGATCTAGGTGGGCTCTGCCCAAAATGAGTCAGCAGTGCAACTATCACAATAATCTCAACTACAGATTCAATTATAACTACAATCACTCAGAACATGACCAACATTACAACCACAACTACCAAAACCACAGTTATCACTAGAAACACCACATCATTACATCAACTTATAATCAAGCTTCCTGAACTCATTACACTCATTGCAATCATTCCAACCCTATAACTCACTATGCAACCCTGCCTGTATCCTGAGATATACTGGCTTGGAACTTTAATTTTTCAATCACTTTTATGCAAATAAAACATATCTGGTCATTTAAGAATTTGTGTGTATGACAAATAACTGACTTGCTAATTTATTAATTACTATTTTGTCTGCAATTTTCTCCTCAGCACATCTGAGTTCCGTAATGCGTTTCTGAAAACCATCCGACAAATCATACGTGAATCTGTAAGAAATATGAACATTCCTGCTAACAAGCCGTCATCGTCATCCTCCAGCATCTCCAGCAAGGGAAACACCAACACTTTACAACCCTCCCGCTCAGCACCTAAGAAAAAAACCTCTACGTCAGTTTAAACATTTTGTGTTTTATCATATTCTTTTGTTAGAAAATATTCCATAGAATTTTGTCATAAACTCGCTTCTCTTGGGTATAGAGTAATAATCTAATAATACTGTCATTCTAGAAGTACTGTATAAGAATTTCTATATCTCACTATTGTTTTAGACAGTTCAGTGTGTGTGTGTAATAATATACATATATACATACATATATATATATATATATATATATATATATATATATATATATATATATATATATATATATATATATATATATATATTCCAAGAGTAGCTACAAAACACTGACAATATAAATTCACTTTAGCTATAAGATTATAAAAATATGATCACTCATTACTTTCAAATTAGTATTAACCTTGAGCATTCCTATTATACCTATTGATATTATTATTATTCTTTATGCTTTATAATCTTAAGAAGAAGAACAGTTTTAAGTTCCTACCTTATATATTTCATTATGTGTGGTGCTTTCTAGTTTTAACATTCACAATGCCTAAATCTTTCTTCCACTTCCTTAATTTATTAAATTTTAATTTTAATTTACTTTAGAGTATAAGATTACATTTTCTAATGAGGATTGATTTCTGAGCATTAAGGGTCAGTGAGTTTTTAGTTATACAGTACTGTATTTATATTGATATTTTCAAAGAAGGTAATAAATAGCAGTCACAAGACCTTTGGAATGAAATAGTTAGCGTGGGCCACATTTTATATCGTCACTGTTAATCCTAGTCGAGTGGTTTTCCTCCCTGAAGGGGTCAGTGAACTGTGCCCTGAGTGGCCCTTTCTCCCGCAGAGTTCAGTCGGCCACACTACAACGACACTCAGCAGGTAACATAGATTATGACAACTTGGAGAGCTACGACAATGTGCCCGAGACGCAGGTTGGGCATGACCAAAACAACTTCCGAACACGCAGCAAGACCGTGTCGGACGGCATGGGTGAGTCCCGCCCGCCGGCCTCTCCCAGGCGGCAGCAGTGAGGGTGGGGGTCAGGGAGGGAATATGACATTATGACCCGTGACTCAGTGAGCCCAAGGCCGTTGTAACATACTGTGTGTGAAAAAAATATTCAAGAAGAACAGTGTTATCCTGAAGGAACTCACCTGCGGTCTACAGCTCACTCCGCGTCCTCTCCCACCACCAGACGAACTCAGTGACTCCACCACCAAGAGCGATGGCGGAAAGGACGAAGTGGGAACGCGATCGGAGGGTGAGGAGGAGGTCATAGACAAGAAAAAGGCGACCCTTGGCCGGACCCCCAACCACCTCTCGCTGTCCACCACCTCGACGCTCTCTACAGGCTCCACTGGCTCCATGGCCAAACTAATCCAGGCCTCCAACCAGCCAGCCCAGTATCAGCCGACCAGGAGTGTTGGTAAGTAAGCCTCAATTATAATGCATGAGCCTAGTTTGAATTACAGTAATGGAATTTTACAAAATTATATGTAGTGAATATGCTTATCATTTAAAAATAGAAGCATATTAAGCAGATCATAAACAGCTTCTCTTGAATGTCATAATTAATAGCTTATACATTATAAAATATAGATTTATATTTTACAGACAGTGTTTTGCAACATAGTTAGCCGTTTCAGCATTTATGTTGTGGTTATTAAAACACTTTTGCAGATTACAGTACAGTATATTGAAACAATTAACTGGATTGCTTATTGCAATGCACAAAAATTTCAAACACTGGCTTTTGACAACAAGACATTTTACAAATGGCATAAAATAATTGTAAGTTAAAGTTACATTAAATTAATTGGATGTGTAGTTTGCAAAGAATATAATAATTTTTTAGCAGTGAAAATTTATGGATCACCTGTAAACAAATTTCATTTTTAGTTGAACAAACTTCTTTGAAGCATTAACCCCTAAGCTGCTCTGGGCTTCAACACCTACGGGCGCATCAGAAAACAAAACAAAAATTCAAAAAATATTTGTCTTATAAAAGTATTCATTTGTGTTCCATGATCATGGGAAAAATAATACAAAAATCGTAGGTGGCATAGTTTGGCCGCAATAGGGTGAGGAAGTCTGGCAAAAAACAGCTGTCAGGCGAGAGTTGCCACAAAGATATTATTACCTAATTATTTCAATGTCTGATTTCTTCTAAGTTTTTTGTAGTAATATTATTTATTAGTGTGTAGTGTGTAGCATAATAGTGTGTAGTGTGATATATACTGTAATAAAATGAGTAAATCTTTGCCATACTCAACAGTATTTTGATCATAATTATTTCAATGATCAATTATTCAATTATGATTCAATTATTATGTTCATAAAACAATAAACAAATAGTTTTGCTTTTATTACACTATATACACAGGTTATATACAAGATTATGCATGTTTTGTTCACCATATCGAACCACTAAGTTGGTATGGTGAATCAAAAGGAGTGAGGAGTGGCCAGTCACCACCACTCCCTCCCTCACCAACACTTCACCCAAAAAAATTTGTCTAAAATCAATTTCTAAACATATTTTTATGCAAATGTCACGACCCTCGATGAATACTTCATCGTGGTTCATTTTCAGCTTTTCTCTTCCTTTAAATAATCTTGTCTTAATGACCATTGTACCCATCTTCATTATTTTGCAATTTCCTGGCATTCTTAAGCACTTCTGTCATTTGCTTCACTCCATTTAATATCACCCTTAAGGAAGCTAATCCTATCTTTTAGATATTTACTTATCCTCTGAAAATCTGACATTTTCCTTTGTTGAGAACCTTCTCTTAAGCCTACTTTTTTCTCAATGATGTTTCCTCTTCTCCTGCTCTGTCCACCCTAGATGGTATCTTATTTTCCAAGCAGCTAAAAATTATTATAGGTGCACTTTTATCTACAGTATTCTGTACTAATTTACTGCTAGTAACCAGTTCTTTCATATTTGCCAGTTTAATGTCATTTCCTGACTGCTCATTTCTGTATGCATGTATGCACATATATACCTGTCCTGATCTCTCGCTTAAATCATCAAAAACTGTACAGTGTGTGTTAATCCTCTACTCCAAAAGTTCTAATAAAGCAAGGTAAGTTCACAAGTAAGCATTGGTGCAATGAGTGTTGGTGGTGGGCAGGTTCTGGTGTTTGTTTGTTTTCTGGGGGGGGGGGGAGTAAAGAGGAAGGAGAGGCATAGGTGAAGGGAAGTATAGACGTGGGAAATACAGTGAGAGGTATGAAAGCAGGCGGGCTGTCCGCCTTGCTGACACGATGTGTGGGTGTTGGCAGCTAAGCTAAGCTGGCTCCCTCTTGTCAGGGAGCTGTGAGTGTGTGAGAGGTTCTTCACATGGATGTCTATAGATGAATACTGTGTAGCATTCATATATACACACACTGATGCTTCCACACACATGTTGTTCTGTTTAAGGCTCTTTATTTTATTATTTTTATTTATCAAGCCATCACACCCTGATGGCTTGGTGCTGCAGTCTGATGTTTAGTGGTTGTATGTTCAGGAGTTCATGGAGCTCCTGGATTGTCTGATCATATGGTGGAAGGTGTTTTGCTGCTCTCCTTAGCACCTTATTTTGCACTGCTTGCAGTTTCTGCATGTTAGTTTTCTTTATGGTTTGTAGTGGTACTGGGGGATACTCTAGATGCAGCCGAACTAGAGCCTTATATAGGTGGATCTGAATGTTAGTACCGAGGCTTCGAAATCTCCTCAATTTTCCTAAGGCTGCTTTGGCTTTGTTTAGTCAGTCCCTTACATGAATTTGTATCCCTGTTCTATAAATCATAAGTCCCAGTATTCTGCCTACCTCCGCATAATGGATCGGATGGTTGTCAAGGATTATGGGGTCCGGGTTTCTTTTCGCAATGTGTATTATCTGAAACTTTTGTTTGTTGGTGCTAATTTTCCATTGCTTCTCAAATTTGTTTACGAGTTCAATTACTGTACTGCCTTGGTCTTGTCGGCTAGTAACGGCTTTGATGGTCCCGGTTGGCAAATTATTTGGGTGACATCGTCAGCCTATGTGATGTATTCTCCATGTTGGGGTTGGGGTAGGTCAGCTGTATATATGTTGAATAGAGTGGGGGAGAGGCAACTTCCTTGTGGTACTCCACTTTTCAGTTCTATTACGTCACCCAAGTAGCTGGGTGACAGGTTCTGTTGCTGTTCTTAATGATGCAAGCCATCCATGGCCACTGGTGCATCTCCATGTGATACTTATGTTTTTTCCTTCACCTCTTACTCTGCCTTTATTGTTGTGTAGCAGTCAGTCAAACCCACCCACTCAAGCAATCAGGCAGGAAAGCAGTCATTCATTCATTCATTCATTCATTCATTCATTCATTCCCCCAGGCACACCCTTGCTTGTGTATGTATATGTGCTTATGTATCTGTCAATGTATGAATATTATCTATTAATCTATGTATCGCCTGACTTCTTATATTGAATACCTACAATTAATGAGCTGTACCTTGATAAACAAGCAAACTTTACAATCAAATATTTAAAATGTTCTTTATTCCACATGTAAGAGTGTCAGCAGCTGGCAGGGACCATCTAGCATTAGTTTCATACAAGAAGTACTCACCTAATTGTGTTTGCTGGGGTTGAGATCTGGCTCTTTGGTGGGTGTATAGGGGAGGAGAAAGGAATGGAAGAGAAATGAGGGGAGGGGATTGGATGGCAGAAGGGCTTGGGTAGGAAGAAGGGTGTGTAGGGCTAGGAAGTAGGGGGGTTGTGAGGATAGGAGGGAGGGGGTTGTGAGGATAGGAGGGAGGGAGCCATGAGGATAGGAGGGAGGGGGGTGTGAGGATAGGAGGGAGGGAGCCATGAGGATAAGAGGGAGGGAGCCATGAGGATAGGAGGGAGGGAGCCATGAGGATAGGAGGGAGGGAGCCATGAGGATAGGAGGGAGGGAGCCATGAGGATAGGAGGGAGGGAGCCATGAGGATAGGAGGGAGGGAGCCATGAGGATAGGAGGGAGGGAGCCATGAGGATAGGAGGGAGGGAGCCATGAGGATAGGAGGGAGGGAGCCATGAGGATAGGAGGGAGGGAGCCATGAGGATAGGAGGGAGGGAGCCATGAGGATAGGAGGGAGGGGGGTGTGAGGATAGGAGGGAGGGGGGCGTGAGGATAGGAGGGAGGGGGTGTAAGGATAAGAGGGAGGGGGATGTGAGGATAGGAGAGAGGGGGCATAAGGATAGGGAGGGAGGGGAAGAGCAAGGAAGGTGTTGGGGAGAGGTAATGGGGTACCAAATATTTTTACCAGAATTTATTTATTCGCTTAAATATGTACAAGAATGTATAATGGGGTTTTCAATAATTTTGGTGGGTAATGGTACATTCTTGCAAAAGCCATAGATTAAAATTTGAAAACTGAGGTTGGATAGAAGGTGACTGAAGGTGTTGCATCATGCTAGCACATAATTGCAGGGGTTAGGTGGGCGGGGTGTGTTGTTCAGACAGGATGAAAATGAGTGATAACTAGTCTTGAAGTTGCTAGCTCGCTTCACCTTGTGAAGGCCAGGCAGACAAGCAGTTAGTCAAAGAGCCCGGCTGACCAGCAACTCGGCAAGCTAAAAAGTGTGACAGTCTCTCAATCAACCCCAGATGACAACTGATTGTCTAGCCTTCCACATGCCTGCCATGCAGACCTGATTGTATGCCTCCTTGTTTATCTGTCTGTTTATGTAGTATGTATCTCAGGGTGCAATTAAGCTAGAAGACAGTGTGTGTGAGAGCAGCAGTGAAGCAGTGTAATGAATGCTATTTGGAGGAATTTGTGGAATATTGTGAAACTCGCAGACTTCATGAACTAAGACCAACTAATCCCACTGAGTAACTATTAAATAAATCTCTGTAACCAGTAACTAATAACATCAATGGTATTACTTTGTTGTACGAGTAATTTTGCTTGAACTGTCAGGCATCCCCTGGGGGTGGGGGGGGTGGAAGTAATGTAGTGATATGGCTCTTTCTGGTAAAGCCTTAATGACTCCCTGAAGCTATCTTGCCAAGATGGCTCCCCACTATTAGGTCACATTGGTTGCGGGAGTCATGTTTCGCCTACCAGGGACCAGAACCTGCCCCCTTCCCTTACAGAAGTGCAGGAAGCAGGGAGAGGAAAGCATCCAGAAAGTCAGCAAAGCTTTACAGATAATTCCAATATTCATAAGAAATGAAGTATCAAAACAGCCAAATGACTGTAAACGATTTAATAACAACAATTGGTTTACTTGAAACCGGCTTGAATCTGGCAATACTGATGGCCAACGCCAATTAGCCAGGAGCCTCTGGCCAACAGCTGGCTCCCGGATCAGTCCACAGCCGATGCCAAACAAAGCAACGAACCTGGTAGGGAGGGAAGGAGTCGGGGAGCCATGGGCTCTAACACAATGAGGCATTTCATTACATTCAATGCTGCTGCCAAGGAAGAGCCGCTTGGAGGCTCCCTGAAGATAACCACAGAGAAATAGGAAACCAAGGGTTTACCAGGAAGGAGAAAAGATGGCAGGTACTAGGTCAAAGAAGAGACCGAGGACCAGGAACCTGACTCAGCAGTGCACAGGACCGACTTGTACCAAGGACATTAACCGGGAACAACTGGGACACCTGCTAAATGGAGAAGGCTAACCGACCATGCCCAAGTCTAACCACATCGCCATGACCTCATGGATCTGTGGGGCTAAGGCCACTGGTCCAAAACCCCTGATCCTAAAATAGTGGGGTTGGGGGTAACTTCCCCAGAGACCTTGGGAAAGAATTCAGAAAGCCCATGGACTGTGGGACTAAGAACTGGTGAAAAGTCAGGCATCTCATCAAAGCTCTGTTGAAAGGTGGTGAACTATGAAAAGACCAGTGCAAACACTAATGAACACAGCAACCCTTCTCCAATGCATAATTATGGTGTTGAGTGGAGGAGGAATCAATCAAAGAAAGAGCAAGAGCCCTGTAATCTGACTCCAGCATAGGTCCACCCAGACTTACAGCAGACGAGGCCCCAACTTTGCCCCAATCCAACTGGACTGCCTCTGAGCAGAGAAGCCAAAACCCCTCTGCAAAAGCATCTGAGGGGACTAACAGCAGCAGCTGAAATAAAAGTCAAAACAACTTCCCTTGTAAAGAGGAAAGGTGAAAAAGGGGGAGGGGGTAACCCTACCAGACAAAGGGTTAAGGATCAGGTATGCATGTGAGATCGACCAAGTATAAAGCCAGAACTGCCTCCCGAAGGAGGATTGAGCAATTAGGACTGCACCTGGTACTGCAGGCAGCAAGGTGGCCACACAAGGGACAGAAGCAAGAGCATCCAGGCTGCCACAAAAATGGTCTGAGAATAGCTCAACAACTGCCGAGATGCACAACATGGTTGTCAGGTTGGTATGAGCCCTGGAATCTCGGCAGTAAGGGTTCCAGTGAACACGGGCAACTGCACGTGGTGTTGCCACTTGCTCATGTCCTTGGAGAGCACCAGAACAAAAAAACAGCTTTCATGTGTTGCCAAAGAACACCAGAAAGATGGAACTCACTTCCCACCACTCAAACATCCAGATTCGACAGATACCCTTCCAATCTCCCAAGGAAAGGAGGCAATTGTCAGCAAGCCAGGATGAATCGGGGACCAAAACCTAAGCTAAAAAGCTAAAGTTGACCAGAACTTGAAAGAGGATCCATTAGGGATGTGAGGTCCTAATCATGCAGGAGAAACCAAAAATGTCTACACATGCCAATGAAGGCAAAAGGCAGGGATGATGGAAATCTCCTGAAAGACAATTCTGCAGAACTGAATGGCATGTGCATACTCTTAAAAAGAAAGGAATAGGAGAAATCCTTTCCCTTGGAGCAAAAGACCTTCCTTAGAAGTAACCATGAAACCACGAGCAGTGGAAGGGCACTCATGGACCTCTCTCAAGCTCCACCCTAGCCCCGTGGGCCACCTGTGATTGCCCCGAAGCAGAACTGTATTCTGCGCCTGATGACTGGTACAGATATCCAACAGAGCAGGATCAGAACCAAGTAATTTGGTGTAAAGGCAAAGGCCCTGCAATCCTTAGAGGGAAGGGATGGTTCAACTGTCTCGACCATTTAGGTGGATGGGGCAATCCTCAAGAGTCGACTGAGCTACTATACATTCACAGCTAAAGTCAGACCTGACTCTAAAACCCTCAGATGCTTTAGAAAGGGTGAAAGAGGCTCCCTGTGCCTCCTCAAAGGGGCCAGATTCTGGCTCTAGTCTCCAGTAGGCCAACAATACTCCTATGAATGATGTGATTAAGTACTGGGAAGCTATATTGGTACAGCAACATAGCTTCAGGGAGCCACTGGGAAGCACCCATAGAAATTGCCAAGTTCAAGCAAGATTGCCAGGAATTAAACACATGCATATGAAGCAAATACTAAAAGAAAACAAGCAATACACAAGCAAATGGCCCCTACAGGACAAAGTTCAAACAATGGCTGGTACTTGGCTCGGAAGGAGTAGGACCTGCTGCAATAGTTGGCAACCTGAGCAGCACACTAGTAGGTTAGTCAACATCAGTGATAGGGCTCACCTGTAAGCCTGCTGTTGACTGGGGACTCTGGGTTTGAGCTTGTTTTGAGTGAACCAATTGTCTTGAATGAATCGTTTGTGCCTTGTGAATGAATACTGTGCCTCTGTGAGAAGGGGGGGTCAGAATCTGGCTCTGGTCTCTGGTAGGCAAAACACAACTACTAGGACTGATGTGACCCAGAAGTCGGGAGCCATCTCGACAAGATCGTTTCAGGGAGCCATCTAGTGGCTCCTCCCAGAAATAATTGTTTTACTGTTAAATAATGCTTTATTTCTAATTTGTTTTCTGTGAATCTTACAGGTTCACCTGTGTGGAAGCCTCGTGATGTCTTCGCCTCAGCTGGTGGCAGCTCTGGTGGGGGAGGTGCTGGCCAGCGAGGAGAGTCATTAACACTTCCTCGTCCAGGAAAAACCAGCGGCCGAGAGGACCACTTCCTGGTGTACGAGGAGTATGGTGGCAACATCTACATGAGTAGCAAAAAGGACACAGGTTCTACAAAGACCCTTCACTGTTGAGCCACTGTTGTTTCCCAACCCAGCAGTCCTCACCACTAACAGCTGCCTCCCCTCAACTGACTACATAGCAGTCACTAACAGCGTGCCACTCATAAATCAGCTTAGACCCTCCCCTAACACTAATGACATCCTGCTGCTCACACTCACTGTGGATTTCCTCGCACGAAACTTTTTACCCCTCGGCATGTTGCTGATTCCATTTACTTTTTACTTTTATTCCATAACCTTTGATAGGACTTAGGAAAAGCTTGATGTAGTGGAAGAATGCAGGATCAGTGTAGCATGATCCTGCTACCCACCATTATTGTGATCGATACTGGTCGCACCTCAAACGCTTCCAATGCGGCCGTGTTCAAGAGAGATACTTGTGTCGCAACAACTGTGTATCTTTTAATTCTTCAGTTTCCAAATGAATTGTGTACAATAAACTTTATGGTTATTTAGCAATTCATGCATTGTAAGATATGAATCTTGAATGAGGACTAGGTTTATCGTTATAAAGAAATTTTTAGACTTAAAAGTGGTGCTCCTGCATTTAACAACTTGAGTGAGAGAAGGTTGTTCTGAAAAACCATTGCAGTGACTGTGCTTCAGCTATTTTATTGTGTTGTGAATAAGTTGTTAAGGTCTCAAACTTGTTTGTCCTATGCTGTGGAAAGCTTAGCTATAGTCATTTGTTTTTACAGGAAGTCAATCATGCAGATTCATAAAGAGAACAGGCTGACCACTTGAACAACACTCACACTTGAGTACACAATGTTAACTTTATAGGTACAAGAAATTGAAATAAATCCTGAAAGATATTTTCTGCAGGTATTAAGTCTCATTGTTGCTATATTGGAGTTGTTGCTTGTACATATTTATGTGTAAGGCAATCAGTACTTGTGGAGTTTTGCTTTAGGTTTAGAAAATGAATTTCTAGTTTGATGAATTTTCTTTATGAGGATGGTAGGCAAGTGACAGGCAAATAATGTCTAGCAGGACAGCAGCAAGTTTGATAGACACTTAAGAGGTTTTTTATACAAAGAAGTATTGTGGAAATATTGACCACCTTTCATATAACATTGCCATTTGTTGCCATAAGTGGAAAGGGAACAGAATTACAAATTTAACTATCAAATTATTAGTATAGGTCTATAGTAATCTTTAATACAGTATATTGATTGTAAAGTAATATCAATACAAATGACTAGTAATGTACAAAAAGTCACAAATAAGGAGCAAATCTATATTTTAAGACAAAATTTAATGTGGACAAAAGCTGTAGTCACTGTATGACATCTCACTTGCTTTTTTGTATCTTGTCTGTTCTCTTCCCACACACCTACCCCCCCCCCTGTCAAATGCTAAAACATGAATCATGTAAACAAGTTTATATTTTTGGTGGATTAAGTAGGAAAGATTATATAAGGTTATCTAATGTTGAAGCACTGAATATATCTTTTCAAGAGGTTTTGTTATATTGAAACTACTTCATATATCTTTTAAGATTCATGAAAAATGCATCATTCTCTTTGTGTGTATAGTTGTGTAACACCTTCAATAGTTAACATATTCAGTGCCAAATAATGTTGCTAGTCATTAATAGTCAATAAGCTTACTATAGCAGTGTCGGCTCCAAAGTACTCTTTAAATCATAATGTTTGTGTTCTTATGCTTAGAATGTAGCAAATGGTTGCGTCTTATTGCTGAGCCTCTGCTAGGCAATCCTTTGCATTACTTCCCCGAGCCTTAAGCCAAGCTCAAAATGGAACACTTTCTCCATTGCAGTAATCCACATAATACACATGTTAGATGACCGACTAGGAGTGATAGTTTTCACTAAATTCTAACAGTTGTATTTGAGGATGCTACACGGGTCATAGAAAAGGTTCTGCCAAGAGCCAGCTACATCCCCAGTTCCTGAGGCTCATCTGTCGCTAATTTACTCTTGCTTATAAACCCAGGGTGCTCAAAATTTGCCCCCTACCCCTTCTCCCAAAACAAAAATCACGTTTCAAAAGTTAAATGACTTTAAGCATGAGGAAACAAAGTACTATGACAGTTCCTACACTAACTGCATTTGCTGCTTAATAAGTAGAAACTACAAAGTTTGGCTTACCTATTGCATAAATTAAAGCTGCAAGATTACTCCAGAATTCAACAAAAGTAATGGCCACCTCAAAAGAAATTAAAATATTTATTTACAAGCAATATTTATAGGTTTTGAGTACATCAAAAATGCTAGAAATTTCTTGATTTCATTAAAAAATCTGCAGTGAGTACACAAATATATTCTCACAGGTTTTTAGTGTGATGTATGTTGCAGGCAGTGTTGGGGTGAGCTAGGGTGTGCAACATTCTGGATAATAACATGGAAGAATATAGCTATTTCAGCACAATACTTGTCATCCACAGAAATTAGGGTGGGTCTTGAGATACCTGATATTTGCTCATATTTGCTGGAAACTTTGATGACTTGATGTGGTCTCGAATGTCTCAACAGCAAGAGACAAGACCCAGTGGTCACCTTTGCCCACCCCTTAACACTCATGTTCATCACCTTCACCTTAGCTCCTTCACAAGTCATTCAGGAAACTAGTGCAATGTGTGCTCTGTCCACAACTGTAATCTACACAAATGGACAATTGCACAATTCACTGTATGTAGCTTATTTTTTAAGTAAATAAAGAATATTTCTGATTATCTTTAGAATTTCTTTATGAAGAGAAGTAGAAAGTATGAATAAAAAATGTGCAAGACATTCCAGGAGCATAGCCATCAGTTTGAGGAGACTTTGTACGGCCATTTTATACTTGTAATAAGATTTTGCTGTTTATACTGGCATAGACAGGCAACATGTTGACCCAATGCGCTTTGTGTTTTGCTTTACTGTCTGTGGCTTGTGGCCGCCCATCCTCCGGCCACACTACCGCTGACCTCAGCTTACCCTATGTGGCATCAGGACCTTTACCTGCCAGCCACATGGTCAATAGGCAGCTGGAATCCCACTCACCCAGAGTGGTTGCCAGAAAATATTGATAAGTAGAGATGCTGTTGTTGATTTTCACTTGTTACATGTCTTGGTAACAATGGTGTACATTTCTTTTAGTGTTGTTTAGACGTTGTCTAAGTACATTCTAATTAGTGGGTGTCCTTTTGACACTCGTTTTCTGACGATTCTAGACCAGACTGGCAGATGGCCACCCTCCTGTAGAGGCACGTACAATCATTATGTGTAGAGCTCCTGGAAATACTGTACCATACCGCAAATGTCCTTCAAAATGGCTCAATTTCATATGGTAGAAACATCGAATAGCATAGCTCGGGGCCACCTGCCACTCTAAACTTAGTGACAACACAGTCTCTCATTAGAGCTGTCTGATCACTCAAAACTCCCTATTCCAACCCCCACCTCTACCCATACCTCTCAAGTGTAACTTCATTTGTAATATTGTTTTGTTCCACATCTATCTTTGTCCCTTACTGAGGTCACTTTATGGTGAGATTTGGGAGTTGTCAAGCCTGACTTTTCACAACATGGGTAAATCTAGGCTATTTGCAAACAGTATTATTCGAAAAGTATATGGTAAGTTATTAAACATAAAGTATTTATTTAAATTAGTTTCATCATTAATATGTTTTAAACATTATCTTTACCAGAAGTATTTTCCTATGAATCTAATCCTTATAGTAGGGTGCTTCTTGTACATTTTTTAATCACCCTTTATAATTTTGAAGCAAAGCTTCAGTAAAAAAAAAATTTCATAAACATATTTTCAACCCCATACCTACCTCAATTAGGTATTACCAAGAATTTCATACAAATTCCCTTTCTAATCACCATCCCTGAGTAATCTCCAACCTTTACGCTAGCAATAAAGTCCAATCCAGGACTGGCTATCAGTACTGGACTTGTAGGCATAAACATTCAGTCTTTACGTATAGTTTCTTAACTAAAGTTCATTCCAAAAATTACATTACTGCAATTTTTTAATCTTTGCATTGGACCACTTTTTGGTATTTTATACTATATATTCTGGTTACATCATAACTGCAATAAATTTCTTCCAAGGTCCATGTCATGCTTCTTCCCCATGTCTATATTTTTTATCACTCTTATGTATGTGAAACAAATATTTAAGCATTCGTGATCTTTTTCGTCATTCTAAGCTCATAGATTTCTCAAGTGTCCCATCAGTGTTCTTGTGTGTGTTTCCATAAAAACTGTCACAATCACTCTACCTAATACTTAATCTTGGGTATATCAACAGAATGTGCCTTTTTTTGAGGTTCATTTAGGTACCCACAGCATTTGTCAACCCTCTCTAGCTGTACCCGCTTAATTCACCCTCCCATTTCCCACTGTCATTCTTAACACATCCTCAATGTTCTCATTAAATAATACTGTAATAGCCTACACAGTTCTGTTAAATTCGCGTTTTATTAAACCAGCAACCCTCACCCCCCACCCCCATCCTTTATGGAGTATTCTTACTCCTATTGTTAAAGTTCTCCTTGTACTAGAGTATTGTCATACATAAGGGGCAATATTCTTGGAACAAAGTGAAAGCATTTCCATCTTATGTCACCTATGTTTCTTCGATAAACAAGAGACCAATACAAGGTTCTAAATTATGTCAATCCAAAGCCAGTAACACTTGACTACAAAACAGAGCATATATTAGGTGTAATCAAGTGATGCAGGCCAACAATATGTTGCAATCCTGTGTTGGTCTCTTTCTTTGATAACCATGACGCTCCAGGGAGGGCTTCAAACAACGCTCAACCCTTCTATAGAATACTCAATAAGTTATCCCATTTTCAGACTGCAAGTAATATCATAGTTTGCTTACTTGTGAAGATATTTGACTTTATATCTTAGGAGAACAAAGTTACATCTGAAAGTGTTCAATAATTAATGAAAGGGTTATATTGTATGATAGAAATGTATACAGACTAATGTATTGTGTTAATATCATTAAACTATTTATACAATGCATGAATCTCTTATATCCCCAACTAACTTAATAACATAGATGCTGTTAACATGCCTGAGAATGTTCTACAAACACCATTAACTTGTTCTTGATTGAAAATATTGCTTTTCAAAGTATGAATATTATAGCAAACTAACATTTGCTTAAGTGCTATCATCTTAGGTAACCTTGTTGTGCAAGCTTGTAGCATCCTAGCAAAATATAACTGATAATCCAGTCTTACCACTCACCTAGAAAGTGAGTGTTATAGTTTCCTTTTAGAAGGTCATTTTACTTAAATTTATCATCACTTTACTGAACATTACTTCTTGGCCATCTTCAATATTTCGGACAATTGGACTACTACCTCTTAGACTATGAATTGTGTGTGTTATATATAAATACTAAATCTCGCTCTTTTTACAACACGAGTAAACAAAAGATATTAAGTATAATGTTTATGTACATTCTTAAACCATAAGAAATGCAATATTGTATAAGAAATACACTGTATATGACTGGAAATGTAAATTTGTGAAGTCTTGCAAATGGTTAAAAAAAAAAAAAAAATCCATAAAACACAAATCATGTGTTGATTTTTGGCATTAAATCAAAAATTCTTTAAAACCATTTACCAAGGAAATTGTACCCAAAAAGCTTATGACAGGTTATGCTAATTAGTACATAATATTTAAACATCTAAAGAAGATTGAGCATTCCCACCTCCCTGCATCTGTATATCTGAAAATTGTCCATATTGTGCAATGACCAGTATGAGTAGTTTAATTTGAATAACTGCTCCCAACTTTAAAACTCCGCAATACTATACACTGGTCAAAAAAATTTGTATTCCTTAGGTTCTTGTCGTTTTTTTTTTTTTGTATAATCATCGTACTGAACAGTAATAATTTTGATATTTTTAGGCACATTCTTTTCTTGTTTCAGACCATAAAGATACAGTACATATACTGTACAGTGGTACCTCAGCTTATGAATTTAATCCGTTACCAGAGACGGTTCGTAACCCGAAAATTCGTAAACCAAAGTGAATTTTCCTATAAGAAATAATGTAAATTTGAATTACTCTGTTCCACACTCCCCAAAATATTAACTTTAAAGTAAATTTCATACCTAATTCACAAAATCTTTAGTACTAAAGTATGTACAAGTTATTACTTACCTTTATTGATGACTCTTGTTGGCGTATGGAAGACAGTGAGGAGGAGGGGAGGAGGAGAGGTGTTTGTGTTTGGAAGGGCAGTCCCCTTCCATTATAACATCAGGCAGTGATGACTTCTCTGGGGTACTCTCTCTGGTATGTTTTGCCTGCATACCACCAGGGCCTGCGTGTGGCTCACCTCTGTTTTTTTTTTCTCACTAAAATTCTATCCAAAGAAGCCCGTTTTCCCTACGTTGTAACACTTTGTCTGTAGTGAGGCATCACAGTGTCATTAAAAAGGATAATGCAATGGCCTACTACAGCTTGGTCTGGGTGAGTTGTTTCAACAAAAGTTTGCATTTCTTCCCCACAGTCTACACCACTTCCTAATTGTTGAGGAACATTCTGTACTGTCTCCTCCTCCCATGAAGACATTTCCTCAGATGCCTCTTGTTGCTGCTCATTGTGAAGGGCTTGGAGTTCTTTGGTGGTCCGTTCTTCGCTGTGTTCCTCCACCAACTCCTCCACATCAGCACCATCCAACTCCAAGCCCAATTTCCGGCCTAGAGTAACAATTTCCTCAAAATAGGCACTTCAGGTTGAGGCTCAAACTCCTCAAAGTCTAGTTCTGAAACACATTCAGACCACAATTTTCTCCAGCCAGAGATCATGGTTCTTTGAGTCGCTTCTTGCCAGGCTTTGTCATCGAGTTTTATTAAAGCACTACAAATGTTAAAATGTTTTTTCCAGAACTCTCTGAGGGTGAGGTTTTGTAGAATTAGTCACTTTGAAACATTTCTGGAAAAAGTGCCCTTTCATAAAGTTTCTTAAAATTGGATATGATTTTCTGGTCCATAGGCTGAATTAGAGGAGCGGTGTTAGGAGGAAGGAATTTTATTGTAACAAAATTAAATTTGTCCAACAATGCATCTTCCAAGCCTGAAGGATGAGCAGGAGCATTGTCGAGGAGAAGCACGGCCTTGAGTGCCAAACTTTTCTCCTGCCGATATTTTTTATGGCAGGGCAAATCACTTCATTCACCCACTCCGTAAAAAATTGCCGTCACTCATGCCTTACTATTAGCCCTCCACATCACACACATTTGGGTTTTCTGCACATTATATTTTTTGAACACCCTTGGATTTTCCAAATGATACACAAGTAACGGTTTAATTTTCAAATTGCTACTCGCATTACCACACAACACAAGAATTAGCCTATCTTTCATAGGCTTGTGTCTGGGCAATGACTTCTCCTTCTGGATAATGTATGTCCTCTTAGGCAATCTTTTCCAGAATAGTCCTGTCTCATCACAATTAAACACTTGTTGTGGTAGGTATGTCTCACTCTCTACAATATCTTTAAATTCACCAACAAATCTTTCAGCAGCTGGTTTGTCCGACCTGGCAGCCTCCCCATGTCTCAACACTATGGATGCCACTTCTTTTTCTAAATTTCTCAAACCATCCCCAGCTCGCCTTAAACTCTTTCGTATCTACATCACTCATTCCTGGGGGTTTGCTTTAAAAGGTCTTCATGCAACTGCCTTGCTTTCTCACAAATGATGGCCTCTGAAATGCTATCACCTCTTAACTCCTTGTTGTGTATCCAAATTAATAACTTTTCAACATCTTCAAGTGTTTGTGTTCTTTGTTTCGTGATTGTTGATACGCCTTTTGCCACTTTAGCACTCATAATGTCCTTTTTCTTAGCAATTACAGTGCAAATCGTTGACAGATTTGTTGTACTGCCAAGCTAGTTCAACAACCCGTGTACCATTTTTATGTTTACTAATGATCTCTTTGTTTTTCCTCTATGGTCATCCTCACATGTGTTTTCTTGGATTGAACCTTACCACTAGCTTTCTTGGAACCCATGGCAACATATATAATAGTAACTTTTATGTTCAAATACCCAAAAATCTTAAAAACACTGAAATTGTTTACAAAGAATTCAAGTGCGATTGTCACTAGGTAGGAGGCACTGGTAAACTGAGGCGCGGTTGCCGTGCCACCATGTGCTAGGTCGGCCATACGCGTATTAACAAACTACGTTACCAGAGGCAAAGTTCGTAACCCGATTTGGATTTTACGAAGAAATTGGGCTTGTAACCCGAAAAGTTTGTAAAGAGGGGCATTCGTAAGCCGATGTGTCACTTTATATCCAACTGTACAATGAATTACAGAAATACAGTAACATAAGCAATCAACACATGCATTTACCTCAGGGTCACCATATATCTAGTAGCATTGGCATGGACTTGATGCCAACAGCTTGTCAAAGGTTCCCATTTTTCCTGATGATTTTTTAGTTTTATTTTGAACTGCAATAATGTCTTGGCATTTATGACTTTGGCAGGTATGTGGTTCCATGGGGTTATAACCCAATGGGTCAAAAACCATCTCCTGTTTTCTGTCCTACATTTTGACTTGTTCAGCTTGAAGCTGTTGCTCTTTGTATGTGTTACACTTGACCTTTTAAAGAAGAGGTCTGGATCAATATCCTCCAAACTGTTCAGTATATTACAAGTATCGATGAGGTCAGCCCTGATATGTGTGGATTACAGCATTGCTAGTTCTCTGGCCCTCGACCATTCCTGATATGAAAGTCAACTTTTGTTTGGGAATGATTTTTGTTGCCTGGCATTGAACTTTCTCCAAAGCAGACATGTTCTTATAATGAGGATGGATACAGTAGTCCAGACAGGTGCACCAGAGATTTGTACAGTTGAACGAGACAATTTATGGAATGGTGCCATGGACGAAATGATGCTGTATGCAAGCAACAGCGGCTCCACCAACACCAAATGATAAAGAGGTGACAGTATTAGGCATGACAAAGGAAAGTACTACGCAGACTGACACTGAAGCCAAACGAAGAGACAAGAGGCAAAATTAGCACCAGGCAACTTCATACTGCTGCTGCAAAGAATGATGCAGGCAAGATGCTAATAACCCAGCCACCTATTTCCATACAAATAGCAATAGACCTGTGTCACAAATTCCAGATTTGTAGAGCAGAGATGATCAAATCAGCAAAGTATGTCATTAGACCAATCTGCTGATACAACTTATTCTCTTGCAAATTACGTCTGAATTTGGCCGTTTACCGGAATAGCCGAAAATGGGCGCAATTTAAAATAAAAAAAAATGAAAATAAATTTCAATTTTTTTTTTTCCAAAACAGTACGTTAAGGGTGCTCTGGTAGGTTAGGAGGGCTGGAAATTCTCCTAATGTTTCAAAACATCATTAAAAACGTTAACTGAAAGTTTCCTCTCTTAACCTTTCCGAGGAAGCCAGAGGACTCAAACAGAAAATGGGACAGTACATCACTTTGTGAGCCGATTTCATTTAAAATTACTGTATGTCCATTGGTGGAGCCGCCGGAAAATTTGTGGGATCAGAGACCAGGCAACCAGGTAATTACCTAAGTGTAGTTACAGGATGAGAGCTACGCTCGTGGTGTCCCGTCTTCCCAGCACTCTTTGTCATATAACGCTTTGAAACTACTGACGGTCTTGGCCTCCACCACCTTCTCACTTAACTTGTTCCAACCGTCTACCACTCTATTTGCGAAGGTGAATTTTCTTATATTTCTTCGGCATCTGTGTTTAGCTAGTTTAAATCTATGACCTCTTGTTCTTGAAATTCCAGGTCTCAGGAAGTCTTCCCTGTCGATTTTATCAATTCCTGTTACTATTTTGTATGTAGTGATCATATCACCTCTTTTTCTTCTGTCTTCTAGTTTTGGCATATTTAATGCTTCTAACCTCTCCTCGTAGCTCTTGCCCTTCAGTTCTGGGAGCCACTTAGTAGCATGTCTTTGCACCTTTTCCAGTTTTTTGATGTGCTTCTTAAGATATGGGCACCACACAACAGCTGCATATTCTAGCTTTGGCCTAACAAAAGTCATGAACAATTTCTTTAGTATATCGCCATCCATGTATTTAAATGCAATTCTGAAGTTAGAAAGCATAGCATAGGCTCCTTGCACAATATTCTTTATGTGGTCCTCAGGTGATAGTTTTCTATCTAGAACCACTCCTAGATCTCTTTCTTTATCAGAATTCTTTAAAGATTTCTCACATAATATATAGGTTGTGTGGGGTCTATGTTCTCCTATTCCACATTCCATAACATGACATTTATTAACATTAAATTCCATTTGCCAAGTGGTGCTCCATATACTTATTTTGTCCAGGTCTTCTTGAAGGGCATGACAGTCATCTAAATTTCTTATCCTTCCTATTATCTTAGCATCATCAGCAAACATGTTCATATAATTCTGTATACCAACTGGTAGATCATTTATGTACACAATAAACATCACTGGTGCAAGAACTGAACCCTGTGGTACTCCACTCGTGACATTTCTCCATTCTGATACATTGCCTCTGATTACTGCCCTCATTTTTCTATCAGTCAGAAAATTTTTCATCCATGATAGAAGCTTACCTGTCACCCCTCCAATATTTTCCAGTTTCCAGAACAACCTCTTATGTGGAACTCTGTCGAAAGCCTTTTTTAGGTCCAGATAGATGCAGTCAACCCAACCATCTCTTTCCTGTAATATCTCTGTGGCTCGATCATAGAAACTGAGTAAATTCGATACACAGGATCTTCCAGATCGAAAACCATACTGTCTGTCTGATATTATATCATTTCTCTCTAGGTGTTCTACCCATTTAGTTTTGATTAGTTTTTCCAATACTTTCACTATTACACTTGTCAATGATACAGGTCTATAATTGAGGGGGTCTTCCCTGCTGCCACTTTTGTAGATTGGAACTATGTTAGCCTGTTTCCACCCGTCTGCTACGATTCCTGTACACAGGGATGCCTGAAAGATCAGGTGAAGTGGAATGCTGAGCTCAGATGCACATTCTCTCAGAACCCATGGTGAAACGCCATCTGGGCCAGCTGCTTTGTTCTTACCAAGCTCCTTGAGCATTTTTTCCACTTCGTCTCTAGACACCTTTATGTGTTCTATGTTGTTCTCTGGAATTCTTATTGTATCTGGTTCCCTAAAGATTTCATTTTGTACAAACACACTTTGGAACTTTTCGTTTAGTGTTTCACACATTTCCTTTTCATCTTCCGTGAATCTATTTCCCATTTTCAACCTCTGAATATTATCCTTTACCTGCAATTTGTTGTTTATGAATTTATAGAATAGACCTGGTTCTGTTTTACATTTGTCCGCAATCCCTTTTTCAAAATTTCTTTCTGCCTCTCTCCTCACTGCCGTGTAGTTGTTTCTCGCATCTTTGTATCGCTGGTATGTTTGGGGGTTCGGCCTCTTCCTGTATTGATTCCATTTTTGTGTCTTTCGGTCTCTAGCCCTCTCGCAATTTCTATTGAACCAATCCTGTTTCCTAGTTCTGCATCTCTGTTTTGGTATAAATTTTTTTGTGCCTTTATCATATATTTCACAAAACTTGCCATACATCTCATTCACTTCCTTGCCTAGCATCAAGTCTGTCCAATTATACTCACTAAAAAAATTTCTAAGGTCACCATAATGTCCTCTCCTGAAGTCTGGTTTTTCAACTGCTTCAACCTCCTTATTTTCTTCCAGCTTATAACGCATTGCATACTTTATTCCCAAAAAGACATGGTCACTTTTACCCAAGGGAGGAAGGTACTGAATGTCAAATATCTCTTCCTCCTTCCTGGTAAATATCAAATCTAGCATGGAGGGAACGTCCCCTTCCCTCATCCTCGTAGCTTGTTTAACATGTTGGTACAAGAATGTTTCCAGGATGAGGTCTACAAATTTACAGGTCCAAAAATCTTCTGTTTTAGCTTCATATGCTTCCCAGTCTATGGATTTCAAGTTGAAGTCACCGACTATCAACAGTCGTGATCTATCGTTATCCGCTCCCGCTATAATCTCTCTCATTATTGTTATAAGACCTTCACGTTTACTATCTAGCTCCTCCTTTGACCATGTGCTGCTTGGCGGTGGACTATATGCATTTATCATCATTAGTTTATCATCCTCATAGCAGATCTCTAGTGCTATTATGTCAACTTCTTGTGGATTGGCAGTCATTATTTCCTTCACCTTTAGGTGTTCTTTTACCAGCACAGCAACGCCACCGCCTTTCCTAATTTTTCTGTCCCGTCTCCAAATTGAGTAGCCCCTTGGGAATATGACCTCATTTAAAATTACATCTTCAAGTTTTGTCTCCGTGAGTGCAACAATGTCTGGTGTCTGCAGCTGTATTACATCACTTAACTCCAGTATCTTCGATCTCACTCCATCTATGTTGGTGTATGCAATCTTCAGGAACTTGTTCCCCCTCTCCTTACTCTTCACTCCCCCTCTCTCTATTGATTTTGTTGGTTTGCCTTTATGTACCACTTTACTGGTCTGCCTACCCCTATCACTTTGTAGAAAAAAGAATTTATTTCTTCTTCATTCCTGCTCTCATTTAAATGTTTTGCCTCGGCGAGGTTCAGTTTCAGCTTCTCTCTATCTTCTTTTGAAAGATCTCGTCTTAACGACCACCCTTTCCCATCCTCATCCCTTTGCAATTTTCTAGCATTCCTTAGTACTTCTTCCATCTGTTTGGCACCGTTTAGGGTGATCCTCAAAGGTCGATCTTTCCCTTTTACGTACCTGCCTATTCTCCTGTAGTCGCACACATTCTCTCTGTTTGTAAGACCTTCCACGAGGCCAACAATTTTATCTACTACTTTAGCTTCTTCTACAGCTCTTTCTGACCTAGATGTTATCGCCTTTTCTTTGCAGCCAAAAATGATCAGGGACTTACTCCGATCAACTGTGTTTTGCACCAACTTCGGGTTAGATGCCAATTCTTTCCTCACTTCTAGCCTAATGTTTGTTTTATCTTGGTTGCTGCAGTGTTTGACTTCCTTTACTGCTTCTTCTATTTTTTCCTTCTCCTTGGCCACTTGTGCATAGGTGAGTTGCATATCTTTCTTGCACTGTTCTATTCCCTGTGTAACTTCCTCCATCTGTGCTGACAAAAGCTGTTTCTCCTGTTGAATTTCCTTGCCTAACCTATTGTAGTCATTTATGTTTAAATTTACTTTAACTTCTTCCAAAGCTATTTTTAAGAGTTTATTTTCTTCTTCCATGGCTTTGCAATTTGTTTCCAATTGATTCTTATCCTTGCGCAAGTCTTTCACTAAACCCTCAAGACATAAAACTTTGCTATTCAAATGGTCATTACTTTCTTTCAATTTACTAATTATTTCTACATGAGAGTTCACTATAGTATCTAAATTTACCAACTTGTTATGTATGTTATGTAGGTGATATGTTCAGTATGTTACATGAACCCTAAATCTTAATTAAAGAAATCTAGTGCATGAAAAAGTCACAATAACTCTGCTCAAAGTAACTAATTATCAAGAGAAGGCACAAAGCTGGAAAATGTGCCTGAAAATAAATAACCCAACACACACACAACAAAAAAGGAGAGTGACAACTTGATAAGGATCCAGGAAAGGCAAAATAATGTCATTTTCCTTTCTTTTCAAGTGGGGGGGGGGGGGGCACTAGTTGTTTATGAAAACTATTGATTGATGTATACTGTACAATTAGAATTTGCAGTAATTAGGTAGCTAACATAATTAGCTAATATAACAAAACATAACAAAAACATAATTTGGTGGCTAACATAACATAAAAAAAAGAACAGCAGTCCCTGTGGCTCATTGGTAAGACACTCGCTTAGCATTTCGCGAGCGCTTTTGGCTTGGGTTCGAATCCTGGCCAGGGAGGATTGACTGGGCGCCGATCCTTAACTGTAGCCTCTGTTCACCCAGCAGTGAATGGGTACCTGGTTGTTAAATGATTTGGCTGGGCCGTATCCTGGGGAAAATTAGGATTAAGGATCTGCCTGAAACGCTACGCGTACTAGTGACTTTCCAAGATTGTAAAAACTCCTGTATGTAAAATGTAATTAACAACATAATAATGGTAACTAACATAACTATGCTTAAAGCCACTGGGAATTTGCAGCTAAAATATACTTAATGACCACTGTACAGTATATAATATTAGTCCTAGGGAACGTTGGCAATAAGAAATTATAATTATAGTTTTCAGATGGTAACAGTGCTGAACTAGGTGAATTAGTACCAGAAGGTCCGTGGGTAAATGTTACACAGTAGTATAATGCTCTGTGCATAGTAAGCAGATATAGCAACAGGGTGGGGTATTATCACAAGAAAATTATTTGGTTCCTTGCTTTTTACATTAAATAGACTCAAGATTTAGAAAGTCAACCTTTCATTAGAATGGGAGTGCTATATTTTAAGTCCCTTTAATTTTCCATGACATGATTTATTTATTTATTTATTTATTTATTTATTTATGCATATATAAGAAGGTACATTGGGAATGTGAGGATACATAATATGGTAATTACAATCTTGTAAAGCCACTAGTACGCGCAGCGTTTCGGGTTTCTATGATCACATAGAATTCATCAAACTTTGGGAATGTCAGAGATATGATGTTCATGGACTATTACATACATCTAGGAAGAGTTTCAAGTCAATGTTAGTATTGAAGTAAAGTACTGTATAGGACTTTTTAAGTGTAAAGTGCATGTTTAGGGATTTGAACTAAAGGGACGTTTGGTTTAATTTGGCGTTGAGCTTATAAATGACAGGAGGATTATTTAAACCACCACAATAATTTGCTCTCAAACCAGTACAAATATTTTAGGTATCATTATAGTTCAAGCACAGAATAAACTCATTTATATTTACACAAGAAGCAGACTACCCCTTTAAGTGGGGCTGTGTAAGTGTATATAATGCTGTACGCTGTCCAAATTTGGGTTTGAGGCAGTGTATATAAAAATTCCATGTGAGATGGATAAATTAACATGTAAAATAAAATGTGAAGTGTAGTGAGTGGGGAGGGAGGGAGGGGGGGGGGGAGATCACTTCCATACTAAATTAAAATATGTCCTGAAGAAGGTATGTTAATTTAAAGAAATTTTGTTAATAAACACACACACACATGCAGAAAGGTCATTATGTTGCAAGTTCATATATATATATATATATATATACACACTTGCTGGATGTCAACCTTGAATAGTTTTTAGTCATTGAAATACAAGAACTATTATGTTTTTCATTTTTTAAACTTACAGAAAATGCCATAATGGAGACTGCAAGCAGGTCACCCTCATCTGACAACACAACAAGAGTGGTCATCCCATCCATAAGCAATGGTGGCCTCAAACACTGCCCCACTACGAACTATCAGTTCCCTGCTCCACATCTTAATGTTTACAAAAATGGCCATCTGAGAGGAGCTCTTCAAAATGCTTACTACGCTGCCCTCAGACCTGCCTCTGTCAATGGCAGCCCCACCCAAATGACTCCAACACGAGTAGTGCCCTGCAGTGGACGCCGTGATGCTTACGTGAGAGGAGTGAAAAGTTCCCCATGGCCTGGGTTTCCTTACACCGAGAACAAAGCCAGTCAGACGGGAGAAGACATGGATAATGTCCTAGGTGCAGGCATGACCATAGACAGTCTCCTTCAGCAGTTACGGGCTCTCTCCTAAACATTTATGATGGTCAGTATGTATTGTGTGAGTACTAATGGTTCACCTAAGAACATACAAAATAAATAAAACTGCAGAAGGCTTCTTGACTCGTGCAATGGCAGCTCCTCTTTATAACAAACCAAACTCATTTATAATACTAGCCTACCTGTGCTTGCAAGGGTTGAGCTTTGGCTCTTTTGTCCTGCCTCTCATCATTAATCAATTGGTAAGTACTTAATAGTAGTTACAGGATGAGAGCTACGCTCGTAGTGTTCCATCTTCCCAGTACCTTTTGCCACACGACGCTTTGAAACGACAGACAGTTTTGGCCTCCATGACATTTTCACTCATGTTTCAACCATCCACCACTGCTTGCAACAAAGAACTGGAAACCACTTTGTAACTTTTCACATTTATTGATGTGCTTCTTGAGATATGGACCCCACTGCTACACATTTCAATTTTGGTCTCACAAAATTTATGAACCGTTTCTTTCACATTTCACCATCCATGTATTCAAAAGCAATTGTGAAATTGGAAAGCATAGCATATGCTCCTGTCTACTATTCAGAACACCTTAAGATGTCAGAGTTCTTTAATGTCTTTCCACAATTTGTAGGTTAGATGTGTGACCTATTTTCTCCTATTCCACATTCCATAAATAGATATACAGGTATCATCTTTGCAAGAAACACTCCAGTCATCCACTTTTGTTGCATTACCCAGCAAGTGTTCCGTAAATTTTCCCGAGTGACCACCATCTCTCTAATGACTTGTGTCCAGGAAGCCAGCAGATTGTCAAAGGTCCTCTAGTTTTCTTTATTTTATCCAGCTGCATTTTGAACTCCAGCAGTATTTTGGTATTTATGGTTTCAGTGGGTAGGCAGTTCTATAGGTTTATAATAGAGATAAAAACCATCTCCTGTTTTCTCTCCTACAACTATATACCCAGGTCTCTTCAGAGTCTAAATATTTGCAATTTGTTTCCATTGTTGTGTTGTCAATAGCAGTATCATACATGGGCATTACATTTAAGCACACAAGATTTTTCTATTGTGGGACAGGTGCCTTCGAGGCTGATTGAAGTCTCCCAAGCCCAACAACTGACCTTTCCCAGAATAGCTGTCTGGTAGTTTCAAAACTGTCATCACCCTCAGATCGGAATACTGTACTGTATTGTATTGTGGTTCACTGTACAGTAAGTACGTACTATTCAATTGATGAAATATTTCTGTACACATGTCACATGAAATTAAAAATGTAAAATATCTACAACACTTTCACGTTCCGATAACGTTTAATAGCTGCACTAAGTGTTAAATGCGTCATCCAATCGATATACACAAACATTTGTATCTTCTTCAATGTCACGCATAGTTTATTTTAAATATACTTGTTTTTGTACTTTAGCAAATTCATATGTAAATATTTTGACACCAAATATGTAATTATAACTCAACAAATACCAGTAGCCGAGAAAATGTGAAATGACCAAGAATTTTAAACATCACTGAGCAGGACCTACCAAGCCTATGTATATGTTTGGGAATGAGCAGTGCATGTGTGTGGCAAAATCGAATATAAATAAAACTGATTTTGAATCTATTCTCTCGACAATTCATTTGTGAATATTTCGACACCAAATTTATAATTATAACCCAACAAATAACTTAAAAAATTAAAAGTGATAATAAACAAAAAAAATTGCATCTCTGAACAGCCCATGAACTGATCCAGGGAGAATGGAACAGTCATGGTCAGGAATTTGCAGAGGCACTCCACTTCCAAAAGTGTTATTAGCTTAGCATAAAATATTACCTTACCTAACCCTAAAATTGCTTACAAGTGCTAGGCAAACTTCATATGATTGAAAAAACTGAGCCTTCACTGGCTGAATGTTCTCAACATTCAGATTTTAAAAAGCATGAACCTATTTTGTTCTGCATATTTTTTTCATTGCCACACTTTCACCCAACGCAACTAGGGAAGGTCAATAGTTAGTCAAGGGGTGATTTAATAAGCCTACAGATCCTGTCCCCATAACATTACCCATATAAACTAACATTGGTACTATTTTCAGTTGGAAGCATAATCATTTGATCAATGTTTGTCAAGAGAATGGAATTTTTGTAATTTAGCTTGTCCCACACCACCTTGTCATCCCCCATGCCATCACAATCACCAGTGATGCTCTGAGCAAATAATTTTATTGTATTGACTAAACATTAGCCAAGATTTATATTTATTTATTTTTTATTTATTTATTTAAGTTTTTCATGCCCGAAACCCTTTGTGTAATAGTGGCTTTAGGCATTGTATGTACTAGCCTTATCTATAAATCCATCACTGTAAAATCTCTTGTATGTATGTACCTTACCTAAATAAACATTTTATTTGATTTGATTTGAAAGGAAAAGATTAACCATTAAAATCCTTTGGATATAGAGTGTCAGTTGCATCACACGAGAGGGAAGAAACACATGGCCAACTCATGTGCCCAGTTCTGGTCGTGAATTATTAACCAACTCAACTTCGTTAATGATTCTTTTGTGCTGTGCTGGATCCCTTATTAGTTCACCTACATCTTTTTGGAGGCAAGGTTTCCACATCTGGATATAGAAGCTGCTTTTCCATTGACCAATAGGCCCTCTGCCAGATTTTTTTTTTTTTTTTTTTTAATTTTATTTAAGGCATACTGCCCTGTGTGAATTTGCCATCTTAATTCACAGACAGAAGTTCAAGATTAAGCATTGTTACAAATATCTTTGAGTTGTGCAGCCATACATTGAATAAACTTCATAAAACTTGGTAAACAGCATACTCTACTCAATATCATCCAACTTGAGTTTAATACTGTGCTGTATTCATAGCGATGCTTTCATATCCAAGATGTAAAAAATAATTATGGGAAGTAGTCTTTCATCCCCAAACTTCAATATAAAATTCTGTTACTGTGCATTTAATCTACTGATGCATTATAAATAAAGAAAACTTTCTGTAGAATATTCTTATGGATTCAGTATCATAATATGCTATACTTTTTACTTGTACAGAATAATATTCCATATTTCTCAGTTGTTCTATTGTATATTAAAATTTAATCTCTCATTCCAGTTTCTGGCCACATCGCCAAAGAATAACATGGAACCGATTCTTCGCACAAAATTTAGTTCTCAGTGTAATGGCCCAACCTGCTCACTCCACCTCCTGGTCTCCCAACGCACTGGTGGTTTACCGTCACATGCCAAAGATGTCTTTCCTGAAAATTGTGTTTTTGACTTATTCTATATTAAGTCCACAGCCTACCAGGAAACTAAAATGCTCTATTTGAAGACAACCACAAGAGAAACTGAGGACTTGACAAGCAGAGAAAAGCTCAAGAGCTTCTTTGTGTTCGTGAGAAAGATCTGAAGCTATGCAATAAGAGTCTACACCCAACTGATCCATCATGCTCATTACACAGATTTCTATGAAGTTTGTGACAGTTTCTCTGCTGAAGTGCAATGGGTATGAGAAGAAACTAGTACACTGCATTACTAACATGCAGGTGAGAAAAGTTAGTGGGTATGGCTGGACATTTGTACAGTACTGTATATAGAACTAAACGAGATACCCCACACAACTGAAGAAATGTCCTACTACAGCCTTGCTTTTACTCTTATGCCATTATAACATTTGGGCATTTTTTATGCAGGAAACATTAGAGGCTTAAAGAGAGCCATCTAGCTTCAGGTGACATCAAGTGTGCTACTACTACACATCACCACAATGTTTACAACTAATGCAGTGCATTTTTGCTTCTGCTATTTTACACAATTTTCTACATTACTAAAGTATATATTATTTATACTTAAAAATTAATAATTTTATTATCCCATTTCACAGTTTTTCATTAAAGAGATTATGATGCAAGTTACACAGAAGAGACACGAAATAAAATTTTTGAAGCAAAAAGTTACTTTTTTAACTATTCCACTAAATTTCCATTGTGATTTACTGGGGTACTATAGTACAATAGGCTATATCTTTCATTCACAATCAAGGAATATGGGGTCAATTCTCAGCCATAACTAAAATGGTTGGGAGACATTTCCATTCTCCTGATGCCTCTGTTCACTAAGCATTAAATAGGTACACCCAGAAGTTGGGCAACTGTTGCATGAATGGTTTCCGAGGTGTCATGAATAGAAAGCCATATGCTTCGAGGTTATAGGACAAATTGCCTTCTCCAGGATGCAACCCACAACGGTTATTTCCCCGGGGCTTTTTTACTACTAGGTGAACAGGTGCATCAGGTGTTATGAAATTTATTTGGTTATGTTTCATTGCGCCCAATACCTCCATTTACCCAGTACCAGATAGATTCCTGGGATTTGACCTAGTAAATTTGTATCATTATCTTTTAAATAAAAATGGCAGGAGTCCAACATTAACAAAGATAGTACTGTAATGCTACCATAATGAAAACTACGCTAATTATATATATTGTTCCATCCCTACCTTTCATCTACATCTAATATTCACATCCATTTCCATCAACTTGCTACTAAGTCTACCACTAAGGTAAAGGTGGTTAATGAAGACACTATTACTTTACAGAATATATTACAACATATATAAAGCTTTACAGCCTACGTGAGACAGAGTTACAGCTTAATTATACCAAAGTATTAACATTCCATCTACAAAAATACCGTTGTTAGCTTAATTACAATCTAAAAATACTATGTACAATTAGCCGATAACCAATAATACTCATACAGTCAATCATACAAATCTACACAAGATTAAATGTCTTTCGCACGTTAAAAAAAATAACTTGAAATATATTTCAAATTATATAAAAGAATGTGTACATATTCATAATTCAAATAGGCAGCATGAAGGCAGAACAAGGAAATACATCTAGCGTTTCATAAGACAGTATTCTTGGCATGTCTTCTTAAGGTTCAAGTGGTTAGAGGCTAATGTCATGATTCATGCTCACTGCCCAGTTTCCCCACATTCTTGTGTTGGAAGGTCCTTTGTCTTTCGGTAAGAAGTTCAAGAAAATGGGTTACACACATAATAGTTCTTATCAGCACCAAGTTAAGATTCTTCATACACTGGCATTTGCAACATACAATATACTTGTATATAGCAATCAGATTTTATGACATTTAGGAGGCAAGGGTGGTGTAAAAGGCACTCCATAATTATCACATTTGTATGACAAGCCTACAATACTACCCTCCACATCCTCCACAACCGCCACAACCACCACAACCCCCTCCATCACCACCCCCATCACCTCCTCCATCACCACCACCATCATTTGCCATTGATGCAAGCATGCAAACAAATGCATCCATTCCTGCATCACCGCCAGCATCACCGACACAGGCATCACTTCCCACTCCTCCACCACCACCACTAACCCACCCTCCGCCACTTGGGTCGCCAAACGTAGCATAATAGCCGCCCCCACAACCGCCACAGCCGCCACAAGACCCACACCCTCCTCCAACATTTGCAGCTATAATCCCTAATGTACAAGCAGTAGAGGTACCATTGGAATCTCTATTTCTATGGATGACATTGGTGGGTGCTGCAGCACAGAAAAACCCTAAGGCTCCTATTAACTTTAGGTTCTCCACTGGTATACGCCGAGGCAACGCTAGCAGATCAACGGGCTTATCACTTGGACCATCGATTGTATCTATGCCGTCATCTGGAATGTGTCGTGGTTGGCACAAAATGTGTAGTACCGTTACACTCAGTCCCAATGCTATGTTCTCCACCCACTCCTCTGTGTTTCCACTTACCTAGAATAATAAAAAAACAGAAATTAAGACAAAGGTAACTATTCATGTAGAAAGCATCAACAAATCTGAATACATTTTAACCAGCTTTTCATCAAAATTTACCTTAAAATCATTACATTTACTAAAGCATAATGATCACTTGGGAAAATCTTGGTGATTATGAAACATTAAGAAATTCAAGAATTATAGCAAGATATGCACTCAAGTTATCAGGAATCGGTTCTTCTTTTAACAGTTTCAGTATTTGTACTGAAACTACAGTGAATAACTTACTAGTGTGTTATGTTAAGAGGGTTAATTGCCCTCGCCCCTTAATATATTTATCTATTCACTACTATATTGTTCTTGATCCAAATAAAAACGAGTTTTAAAGAACATGACCAAAAGTCCTGAAGCCGTTACATGTTTCATCGAGCCTAAGCTACTGACAAAACTCATTAATATTCCCGCAATAGATCCAAGTGTTCAATTACTGTGCTGTAAAATAATGAGCATCCCTGGATGAGGAAAATAATGCTCATCATGACACTTTACCCATAAATTCTTGGCTAATTAAAAGTCCATCATGGTGCACATAAAAAGTAGTTCACAGAACTAGTGTACAAAAATTGCCTATGGCATTGAGCACAGCTGTTTAAGGGTTAATGCTGATCATGCTATACAAAATAGTGTACCATTAGTTATAGTAGCTGTTTAGTATGTCACAATGTAGCAGAAACTAAACCCAACCCACACAATGAAATTAAGTGAACATTTTGGTCCATCTTGGACCCTAATCAAGCCGTGATGGCCATGAAAAAAAAAAAATAATGTGGGACGGTTACAAATAATGGCTAAAATATAATGAAAAGAGCTTTTAAAACAGTGTAAATACTTGACATTATATACTGTACCTTAAAAATTCCATCATGCATATCAATGTAGAGGTCTTGTATGTCACAACTGTACAGTTGCTGCTCATATGGCAAGGTAATAATGCTCGCTGGTGCCGAGGGCGGACAATGCACACGAACTACTAGGTGACCTGGGCTCCCAGGGACACCACGCCTTGCTGAAACGTACCACTAAGTAATAATTAACGAGTAAAATATGAAGCTCATGTAAACACTTCATTCAATGAGTATAACAAAAATGACTAGTACAGTATTTTTTTTTAAAGCCTTATTTTGTAATGAAGTTATACCAATCATTAAGTTTTGCAGGAAGGCCTGAACATGTGCATAGCTAAATAAATTGAGAAATGTAACAAAATTTGTTATAGATTAAAATTAAGTGTGGCGAGAGGTAAGCAACAATAAAGGACACAAGATATGCTCTTTTACCTATAGTGTACTAAACGAGTGGAATTGTCTACATGCCAAAGCCATAAATGGCAAGAAAATACTCTAGTTCAAAATTCAACAGAAGAAATCCTCAGGAATTATGGAAAACCTCTGGTAAGTGGCTGCTCTTGAATTCAAGTATCTATACCTGATAAAGCGAGTGGATAGGTTTTATGCCATACACACAGGTAAACACAGTGTCTAAGGAAGCCTATGACAGCTCCAAATTGCTATAAACTAAAAAAAAATAAGATATCAAAGCACAATCCATGCTTGCCATTTTAATCTTAAGTTTACACACAAATCTTGAAGTTCGTTTTTTTTAAAACTTGCAGCAAGGAGATTCAATTGTTTCCTAATATACAGAATTATAAATGACATACAGCAAGATCTATTGACAGAACTTAATTTATTATCTTCAACAAATAAGATAAGAACGAACTAGAAATGGGACACCGTAAACTTACACAATGAGCCTGGTGTACCTCGCTTCAGACCTGCCCAGTAGGCCACCAATAGAGCCCAGTCCCCATTGGCCGTCTTGATTATCATCGCTCGTTCTCCACCACTAATATCACACACAGGTATTTCATTTACCTACAATGAAAAGTGAAAAAGAAACATTGACCATCAAAAAACATTTGATATCAATCAAGATTAAATAACACAGTAGTAGTAATAATTTTGATTCAAAAGTGTGTACGCACACAAAAACATACCACTTTAAGGACAGGAGTTGCGCAAACTAATGAAGCAGCTATTACGTAAAGCATTTCGGGCAAAACTTGAAATATAGAAAAGATTTTAGCTAACGGTGAGGAGTAAACACTTAATACTAAGAAGAGAGGGGCAAGTTAACAAATGAATATTAAAAAGTTTTATATATTGCATATTATATATAAAAAAATTATATATATTATATATATTTTAGTTAAGAAGTACACTTTGTGATGGTTCTGTTTAGTGTTTACCCACCTCTGTTTAGATTGCCTATTACTACCAGTTCTTAATAACTTGTCTGTCTCAGTTGAATCGAGTAAGAAGAGGCATTAAGTTAAAGCCCCAAATAAAGTTTTTAATATGAGAAGAACCTGGTTACTGGCTAAGTGAGGCCATAAACATTAATTGGAAAGGCAATTATAACGATAAATAATGGTGACGAGTCGCATTTTTAGATACAGTAGCACAGTACTGCAAGAGTTCCAATTCTAATACCGGTAACCAAAATCTTCTAGAAACCCTAATGAATTAGCATTCATAATTTTCGGGTGAATGGCTGTAGTAGTAGGGTTGCGGCATAAAATTGGCCAACTCAAATGTGGATGGGCCCCATATGATTTAGATTACTATGCATAAACACTATGCAAGCTAGTAGTAAAAGGTGAGGATTTGTAATCTTTTAGTAATATAATATAGAATTACTAACCATATTATTTGAAGCTTTGTATTTGAGAGACGCTGGGGAAGGCAAACTGTTTGCATCAAGAGTGTGGGCAAGAGCCACTAGGCTACGCCCCGAGGCACTTTCAGCATAAAGATGGACGGCAGACATCATCAGGTTACGAGAATGGTACACCTCTACTTCCAAGACTTGTGGCTTTTGATATTTGGTCTCGTTGATCAAACTGTTAATAGGAAAAAAGTATGTCAACATCTTATTTTACACAGACGTATCCCTTATATCAAGTTCCCAGTATATTAATAGAAACACGTTAAATTCACACTTTCTTACCGATGAGTAGCCATCTCGGCCAGAAAGATATCATTAGACGAATCACTATTACTCGTGACAATGCCTTGCATGTGTGTTAGGGCTTCAGGATCCAGAACAGTAGGCATAAAGGGACCAGTAAGGATCCCTAATGGCACAAAAGCTTTGATTGTACTTTGTACCACCCGCAGGGTTACTTGAACTATAGCTCCTGCATCTTCAAATTCCTTTAAACAAACAAAAGTGTTTACTAAGACTTGTGTTAAGCATATTTTCACACTGAAAATGTGTTACTGTATCCCATAAGGAAAATGTTGCAAAAGTACTGTAGTAAGAAAATTAATCAAAACATGCCGAATAAAGAGGCGCCTCCCTTGAATGAAATAAATTAAAACAAGCAAACAAAATAAACACATTTATAGACAAATTACCCAATAAGAACACATTTTAAAATTGTTTCAAACATCTTCAAATGTTTAGACGATATGCTGAAAGGCGTAGATTAGCAGACCGATTGACTGACATTCCTGCATGTTGCACTTTGGCAATGGATTTTATTATAAAAATTATTGTTAATACCTCAAGTGTCATGCCATACAGATGACTGTTGCACAAAGACATTACAATAGCATGATATAGCCAAGAAAATATTTTAGAACAACAATATGGGTCAACTCTCAAAAGTCACCCCCCATAGTGGGAAGAGTAACCCCCCCCCCAGTGGGAAAAGTCACCCCTCGCCCTAGTGGGAAAAGTACCCCCCCAGTGGGTAAAGTACCGCCACACTGGGAAAAATCACCCCCCCCCCCTAGTGGGGAAAAAGTGTTTGGTGACCCAGAATGAAAGTTCCATTTCATCACGTTGCTGCTAAAGATTATTATATTATTTTAACCCCAGTGATGAATGACCAATCGTACACTAAGTGGCATTAACAACCAGATAATATTTGTGCCACTCGGGTGTACAGTACAAGTGGTTTTCTCAACACCGGACGGTGTTTGACACGAATCAAGGTCAAGCCAATTAACATTTAAACAAGATATTTACCTTGACAATCGTCCCTTCTGTTTTGATGTCATGAAGTTCGTTAAGATAGGCCATGCACCAAAAATGTCCATGACCAAAATATTTCATCAATTTGCTAAATCTCCTCTTAGGAGACATTTTAAGCACCAACCAGTCACTGACCATCTGCAACATAGAAACAAAAGGTTTTAAATCTATTTATTACTTTTTCCAATCAGATTGTTGAGGAAAGATTTAACTAAAAGATAACCTTTCATCATCATGGGTGAATCAAATGGAACATTATGAAATATTTAAACAATTAACAAACTTTAACCCAGTTATATAATTACATATGATGAAGTAATACGCAAGCGCTCTGTACAACATTCAAATGAAATAATGGTAAACAACATTTCACCAGGCTATACAACAGCCTGTTCTCGGTGTAAAGTGATTACAACAAGACAGCAAACACCCCCATTCCTTCAACAAACCACCTGGATAGCTCTAGATATCTGTGATGATCTGCAAGCATATTACAGTTCCAATAATAGTTACTTGTAAATTGGCAAGTGAACCTTTGTCCTCAACAGAGATCATCATCGCATTATAACTTTATTGTATTATAAATTGTTGGTTTAAATTATCAAGTCTATGCTCAACTTGTTTCGTTTGAAATAGTTTGGAGAATATGGTTTTCTGTAAATGAAATTCTATGGGATACTTTAATAGTTTTTGAATGTCATTTCACGTTTGAGTAGTGGTGGTGGGTAGTAGTAGTATATAGTACATATAATAAAAAAAATAAACTGGTTAGAAAGGCAGGGTCCAACAGCTAATTGCTCGATTCTGCGGGAACAAATAGTAAATGCAGTGGGGGGGCGGGGGCTCGCGGCTGAGTGGACAGCGCTCAGGGGGTCGTAGTCCTAGGGGGTCGTAGTCCTAAGGGCCCAGGTTCGATCCCCGGCAGAGACAAAAACAAATGGGAAGTTTCTTTCACCCTAATGTACCTGTTCACTTAGCAGTAAATAGGTACCTGGGAGTTAGACAGCTGCTACAGGCTGCTTCCTGGGGATGTGTACATGTGTGAGAAAAATATATGTAGTAGTCTTAATAGAGGACAAATTGGTTAGGAAGGTGGGGTCCAAGAGCTACAGCAAAAATTATGCAGTGATTTTGAACGGTTAGCAGGTGTAATTATTAAAAAATGGAACGTATTAGGTTATACACCTCGCATTTTCCCTAGAATAGGCCCCAATACCTGCAATTTCCACGAGTAAAATATTTTAAGCAAGTTTGATAATACCTTACATCAGGAATATTTAATTAAAATTGCAGATTACAAAAATATGCATTGCATACTCTGGTAAATAAGTAATAATACCAATTCTAGCAGATGGTTTAAAAGCCCTCACTGCAGTCCAAATGTATATAGCCGAAGTAGAATATTCTTTCCATATATTTCTGGTCTCCCGGAACCCACTAACCCTCACACAATTTACACGCGTGTTCCCGACCTGACCTGGCAAAGGATACCGCCAATTCTTCATCCTTTTCCGGCTTTTTATCCCCACTTTTAAGCAAATTCCTTACGCCTGGCTGTACCACAGTCTGGTGGGGAGATGGGCGTGTGTTGTATTTCCCCTGCAGGTTAAGCCCGGCCATACTGCAGCTATTGTCTTGCTACAATGTCGTACATTTATAATATCTTCGTATTAACATTCCCCTCCGTCTGTAGGTGGTGATGTGCATGACTTCGTCCGCCTGTGATGACCGTCCTGTATTACCGCCATCTGTCTTACTTTTGGTTTGCAACACGTCAGTAAGTCAAGTCCAGTCAAGTCCAGTCAAGTCCAGTCACGTCCAGTCACGTCCAGTCAAGTCAACTGTGTTACGGTCAACAGTGTGTTGGTTCACCTCCCTCTAGACCAATGCCTGGGGTCTCTGCTGCCAGGTCCAGCAGAGACCGGCCATTCAGCCTGGCAGTCAGCCACCGCACTCCACATCACGCTGGCCATGTTTTGCTTCCTTGCGGGAAAACTGAATAAAACTTCACCTTGAGAAAAAATGACTCGTGAATGACTAAGTTATGAGGTGATAAATCTTCCATATGTAAGATTTTCTCCTCCACACTGTGTAAATGGGAGGCAATGGTGGATTCTGGGGAACATTGGAGGGGGAAGGATTCCTGGAGGCTTCCCCACTGGAGGATCCATAGAAGCAATAGAGGATTCATTATCAAGTCAGAATTCCATACGTATGGTTCAATAATCATGATAGAGAAAGAAGCAGCCTATGACACTACTTCTGTGGCACTTCTCGCCCATCTCTTGTTGTGGTCGCCAACAGTTCAAAGCTCAGCAGTTTATACTTTAAAAACTAAACACAATGACAAAAGTCAGACACTTAAATAATTCCCGCTGACGGAGCAAGGAAGCCGGTTCTAAAGCTTACCGAGCCGCCCCCCCCCCCGGCCAGGCTAGGCTAAATGTATGCTGACCTTCCCCACACAAATTGTCATATAATTCCAATGGCCGTTATCGTGGACAGGAAGCCTGGCTGTGAATATATATATACTTAAGGCTTTTATCCAGGTCCACCTAAGGTCGAGAAAGACATTAAAAAGGGGGGGGGGAGATAAAGGGGAGAGAGATAAAGGGGAGAGAGATAGGGGGGGGAGAGATAGGGGGGAGAGATAGGGGGGGAGAGATAGGGGGGGAGAGATAGGGGGGATAGCGAGCTAGGGAGAGAAGGGCGAGGGGGTGGGTGGGGGGGATGCGCCATCTATTACATGTATAGGAGGCATGTGAACGGTAAGCCACAGCTGGTGGACTACGGGTAAAAATTGTCCTTGCTGGGGGGGGGGGCCCAACAACCCCTCTGCGCTGATGGCGAGGGAGGGAGGGAGGGGCGAGGCGTGGAGAGAGGGTCGGGAAGATGGGCATGTAGGGGAATGGGAGGAGAGTAAAGGACGGTGGGGGGTGGGGGGGGAGTAAGGGAAGCCCCGTCATTTCTCCCCCCCCCCCCCCCCCCAACGGGCGCCACTCTGGCTCTGAAGCGGTCCCTTACCCGTCCCTCCACCACCAGATCGATGGCCTCACACCAGACTCATTGCCTCACTATCCCTCCACCTCCCAAGAAAATAACTAATATCCTCAACTCACTATCAACTCATAAATCCACGCGCCTAGACTCAAGGACTCTGAAAACTATCGACATTCCCTCTGCTTGGGGGCACAAGGCCGTTAAAGGATTCTCTTAAAAGAGTGGTTGGCGCCGTTTCTCCTGACGGAGGACTGCGACAAGTCCCTCTCAACCGGCCAGAACCCAAGTCCATCCAACCGGCCAGAACCCAAGTCCCTCCAACAGGCCAGAACCCAAGTCCCTCCAACACACAATGCCTCTCGCACCCCCGCTTGAAGGAGCAGTGTGTCATACATGACAGTGTAGAAAACAGTCACGAAATTAATGTTGCCGAGACCCACGGAAGATATCAACACCACATAACACTAAGTACTACCCTAATAAACTCCATGTAACCCAAGTGTCATCCTACGTCTTGTTATTTTCAAATATAATTTATTATTCACCAACATTTTTAAGTGCTGATATCCGCCATGCATATAAGAAAATTGTAGTATTCTGTTTAGTTAAAATTCCTTCGTCTGTTCCATCCATCATGTAATCATTATCATTTTTTCTTTCAATTCAATTTATCCTTTTGATCTCTTTTAGTATTAAATTTTAGTCTGAATTTTTCCCACACCTTGACCGAAACGCTGTACGCATTAGTGGCTCCAGGCATTGTATTTATTAACTATATCTAGAAATCCAACATTATGTTTATAACTCATTTTCAATGTATGTACCTTTACCTGAAACATCTTATCTTGCATACAAGATACCAACGAAGAAAATAGAAACTCCTCCTCCCAGATATATACAAAAAATCAATATCCAGAGAGAATATGCCTCCCGAGAGCCGCGAGAGACGGGGGATGCCGTCTAGGGCACACAAAAGATATACAAGGGTGCTTCAGAGGTTTATTAATTCTGTTGACGGAATGGATTCTTCGATATCTTTAGGTTTGTTCCTGCGACCTCGATGGAGGGGGGGGGGGGGGGTGCGGGGCCACGCCGTACTTTCATTAACCCTTGATGAAAATAGTGTGAGGTGATACCAGCTGATTGATTGATAAAGATTAAGCCACTCAAGAGAAGGCACGGGCATGAATAGCCCGTAAGTGGTGGCCCTTTTGAGCCATCACCAGTATCAAGAGCTGATACTGGAGATCTGTGGAGGGGCGACTGCACCCTGCGTGACGGGAGATGTCTCCCGTGTTATCCTCACCCTTTCCAAGTGCTATATAGTCGTAATGGCTTGGCGATTTCCCCCCTGCTAGTTCCCTTCCCTTCGTCAACGATGCATCCCGCTAGGACACTTACGGAGCTCTTATTTATAAACTACTTTCTTGTGAAAACCATCACAGCCTGTGGGAGCGTCAATATGGAGTCACTGACCACAGCACACATTACAGTACTCTAGTACATGGTGCCAGCATGGAACCCCTACCAGAGCACTTTAATAGCGAGTGTAAAGGTTCGTCACAAGTTTCATTTCTTAGAAGTTTCTCATCAAATACAAGACCTCAAATACAAGTCTTGTATTTGATGTAATGAGCCTGCAAGATACTCTGACACAAGGCACTGGACAACAAGGCAATGTTGTTGTTGTTTAAGATTCGCTACTCAGAACAATAAGTTCCAGTAGCACAGGCTATGGTGAGCCAGTACAAGGCAAGCACGGAGTGGCATAAAGAGGTACACCTTATCACCCAGAAGCCACTGACGGGCACACTTGAAGACCAGCTACAGAGTTGATGCTTCACGGGGGAGACATCTCCCGTCACGCAGGGTGCAGTCGCACCTCCACAGATCTCCAGTATCTATTGATACTGGTAATGGCTCAAAAGGGCCACCACTTACGGGCTATTCATGCCCGTGCCACCTCTTGGGTGGCTTAATCTTTATCAATCAATTAACACTTGGGTAAGATACTAGCAGGTTAGGAACAAGCGGGTACTCACATGGTCGTGGAGGGAGAAGGAGAGGCCAAGGTCTGACACATTATGTTCAGACACACCTTTCTCTTGCTCGTGGAACAGACTCAACTCCGCCACCTTCTTCGCCTGCAGGAAGACAAAAATCATATTAGCATTGTGTACCGTCTCAACAGTGTTCTTAACACCCTAGCCCGTAGTCAGGCATCCCTTAATGACTCGAGCCAGGTAGCACAAGGTAGAGCCAACAGCCTACGAGAAGTTACCAAGAATATTTTATACAATGACTTGTGCCAGACCCAGTATCTTGCCTCGTATCCTTTACAAACACAAGCCTTTATGCGTTTTCAACTTATACAAAAAAATTGGAATATATCTCTTCTAATCTCGGCAGTGAAAAATTGCAATATACAATGAGAAATATGATTAAATATTTCCTGATGTATAGTCCTGATATTACTATAGTCCTGATGTTAATACAACAGGCCAAATTCAGTAAGGATAGTACTTGTAGCAACTACTGTATTTGGTCAAACACACAGTTGCACCAAAAATTTAGTTTTGTACTGTTAATTTCCAGACCTAGAACAACACATTTGTACGATATTAGGCCGAGGATAGCGTACATTAGCATATTATTGCTTGGCAAGGTTACATGCAAGTTACCCACTCGTGGGACTCGCCATGCTTCACACGTAGTAGTTTATATACTAACTGCTGCCGAGAGTCCACATGCACCCAACGTCAATAAAGTGAAGCATCTTCAGAAATTAACAAATATGAATTTGATAGTTCATCATCTTGCACCTTCAGCAAGATAATTTGAATTAACACGACCGAACCAAAGATATCTCGCAGCCTGTTTTTGTAAAGAGAAAAGGACTGAACGTGAATAGTTATAACTGATAGCTAGAAGGCGAGGCCCAAAAGATTAAACTCCCTCACGCAAGCTTACGAGAGTTCTCTCACACACTGGCCCGCAAACGCACGCAAGCACGCCCAAGCGTGCACACAAACATGCATAAAAAATTATGAAGCAACTCACCTCGTGTTTGATCTTTATTTTGATGGGTCCGTCAGGTGCGTTGCCACTGATCGCAAGCTGCGGGTGGACACAAACACTTGTTACTACAGATCAAACATGTCACCCTCCCCAACTCTCTTCTTTCCCCACCGTGGGCAGGAGTGCCCAGGCCAAATAAATGAACTGGGCCGCTTCCCCACTTCCGGGAGGCTAACCATAGCCCATGCTTCTTGCCCCGCTCCTGTGCCAGTAAGTTACGGGCTCACCATAGCCCGTGCTACTTGGAACTTCTTCAGAGTAACTGAATCTAACAACTTCCCCACTTCCGCCTAGCTATGTCAACATTCCCCATCCTCGGTGCCCATCTACTGACTGGTAACACTGATGAATTGCAACCGGGACTGATTTCCCGGTTGCAATTCTTTTACCATGTCGTAGCTCAGTCGATTAAGGCAGCGTCTAAGATGCTCTCGGACGTAGGTTCGAATCCTCGTCACGGCCCTTGTCCTAGGCCGACCTTGGAACCCTAATGGAGCAAGTGTTTGAGCTCACTCACCTCTATCAGCTATCCTAACCACATTTATTTCAAGAACTAAAGTATAAATGGCTTAGTGTTTTCTCCTGATAATTACATTGGCTACGATTCATTATTGAATAGTTACTAGCTTCAAAAATTCGTATTTCTTATAGAACTCTTGACGCTTGTAGGCTCTTAAACCGTTTCATAAATACAAGCCGAGATGATTGAAGAAAGATGTAGTGTCTTCGTAAGTGAGCATCTAAGTACTTTATGAACCCCTGGCCCTTATCCTGGACCAATAAGCGATTACATATCGTATTACCAACTTAATCAGATTACTGTATCTAAATCGGTGACAAATATTTCTAATGTATTAAAACTTTTTCCAACGTTATTACCTAACCCATTTCCAACTTATGAACATATTGTTAACCAATGTCTAAGTACTTCTCCCATTTTCCAAGCAATTTCCAATTGTCTCACCTTGGTGATTTAGTACTGATCAAAACTACTAAAGCCCACTTGCATAGGTAGACGACGAGTGAGAGTCGAGGCTGAAGAGTCGAAGCTCAACCCACACGTCAAAAAAGTAAGAACCGACCACGTTTCGGTCCATCCTGGACCATTATTAAGCCTCTAGAACGGACCGAAACGACGTCGGTTCTTCATTTTCCAGATTTGTGGGCGAGGTATCAAGTCATTTGCATATTTGCTCACATTAGTAATTTGACTTATAGAACAATTTTTCATCCAAGCTTCATCATCATCAGACAATGGTACCATCAATTAAACCCCATTTGACTTCACCTTTGAAATCAGTCACAGCCATTTCCCCTCCACCCAATTTGCGAGCTCAATTAGCCTATTTACTGACCTTGGTGATCTGGCAGTGATAGACGCAGGCATGGGCGGCGTGGGTGACCTTGCGGGGTACGGGCGAGAGGTACGATGCCGGGGGGTCACTACGGTACATGGAGCCCTCCCTCCTGAAGGTGGTACCGTACGCGGAGCTCCACAAGGCGCGCGTTTCACCATCTGAAGAGACCAGCCTGCGTGTGGCAGACGAGGAAACATTACAAGAGATTGGTTGGAGAGTTAGCATAGTTTGGTATATAGGGAGCAAGGGGTCAGGGAGACAGATGCCTGTGTACATACACACATCATGTGTACAAAAGTGTGTGAATGTACAAGTGTGGAAACCATGTGCAAGTGAGCGTGTGTGTACTCGCCTATTTTGTGATTGCAGGATCGAACATTGGAGATTGTTTTAGATTTAGCTACTCTGAACGGGCTATACTGTGCCCCCTAAGAGCATTAGCTCTTGGACCCCGCTTTTCTATCCGCCGGTTGTCTAATACAATGACTCCTGACCTATTTCCCTATCATATCTACTTTTCAAATTATGAGTCGAGTTAGCTTCTACAAGCTGCTCCTAGAGGTCATTCCATTTTCCCACTAATCTTACGCTAAAAGAAAACTAACATCTCTATAACTCAACCAAGTCAGTTTGTGTGAGTGCGTGCATTATGAGTACATACGGAGACCATCTCGGGAAGCAGTCTCCAAGCAGAGGCTGCAGATTATCACCACCTCTCACAGGCGCCACAAGATTGTGACGCCTGTCAGCCAAACACAATAAGCTATTTTGTGTTACACTCGTGTCAAAATGTGACGGTCGACGGTATTCACAATGTATAGCACCTAAGACTTCCGTGGCTTAAAAATCAGAGTGAAATTGTTAAATTATAATTAGTGATATGTAAAGTTGACCTTTGGTGAGAAGCGACGACATGCCAAATGTCAGCTACGTGTGCCGTATTGACCAGGGGAGAGAACCCTCCCAGCCAAACCCTCGACCAAAAAAAAATCTACGAATTATTCATCAGGTTGTACGCACAAGACACGAAAGAGGGCGTGTAGAACAAAGGAGAGGAAGATCACGAGAACACTACCAAAATAACAACCAATGTGTCATTCTCGACAAATTTCCACTCGACAATTTTAGCGATGGACAGAAGGAGGAAAAGTTTGAGAAATGTGGAAGTATGTTATGACAGTAGGCGGGCTGTCTGTCTGCCTTGCTGACGCCATGTGTGTGTTTCGTAGTTAAAGCTAAGCTTGCGCTCTTGTCAGGCAGCCTCCAGTGTTTGAGAGATTCTTCACTTGTATTCCAACAAGTATAGATGTTCATAGATGAATACTGTAATATTCACACCGAGATGCTTGTCTACGTTTTGTGTTTTACCGAGTAATTTTTCGGTGGTGATATCCTTGTGTATTTCAGCTTTGAATTATGTACTGTGGGGGCTAGGTTTCTATTGAGTAGATTCAAGCTCTTGGGCCACCAGCCGTGCGAATGAGATGGCTCATCTGAGTATTCTCTCAACCACTGGGTCTTCTAAGACTGATGTGTTCCACACCCTTGTGGCTTGGTGCAGTGGTCTGATGTTTTGTGGTGTGTTCAGGAGTTCCTGGACTGTGATCATATGGTGGACGGTGTTTTGCAACCCTTTAGCGCCTTGTTTTGAGCTGTATGGTTTTACATGTTTGTTTTCTTTATGGTGTGTAGTGGTACAGGAGGACATTCTAGATCCTGCCGAGTAGAGACGCAGTGTTGTTGCATCATCTTGTCAAGGCTCCGGAATCTCTACAGTTTTCCTAAAGCTGTTTTTGCTTCCTTTGTCATTAAATTGTGATTCCTACTAATCCCGAGTCTCGGTATTCTACAGCATGACGTTAAATTCGCCAACCCCCCCCCCCCTCTGCCATGGGACCACCCACGACTACCCCCCCCCCCCCCCGGCAGGCAAGGCTCAGTATAAACTTGCTATCATTGCCAACTGGGGGGCCAAGTTACAGCCCCGCTCCTGTGCCAGGTAAGTCCATTACGGGCTCACCATAGCTACTTGGAACTTAGTTCCGTGTAGCTGAATCTATACCACCATCACCAACTGGGCCCCAAAACGTTACAAATTACACCAAAACTAGGTTAGATGCGTCCGCATATGCATACCATTATCTTATACCACGGCGAGTGGTATAAGATAATCAACACAGCCACTCTCCTGGTCAACAAAGGTGTCCAGCAGCTGGACACCCTCATAAAGACTGAAGCAGTATCCTCCCCCACGATAACAGCCTGATGGTTAAATGCAACCTCAGAATACTGAGAAAAAAAAATTGTACCACTTACGGGCTATTCATGCCCGTGCCACCTCTTAAGTGGCTTAATCTTAATCAATCAATCACGGCGCGTAAGGATATTTCATTACTAATAAAGCTGTCGGTAGGCTGTCAGACCGTAAGACGTTCAGGTTTTATCGATAAATCACCGATTATTTTTTATACTTTGGATTTAATTTTATTTAAAGGAAGTGTAGACTAAGGGCAGGCAGTCCTGGGCACGCTTGCCAAAAAATGACACGCAAATTACTTTTTTTTTTCTCCGGCACGCGAAGCCTTGGCCTTAAAAAATTAGATAAATATCCAACTTCTTAAGTAAATTGTGTTTAATATAATTTTATTTAGAGCGATACCAAATAAAAATGCAATAAATACTGACAACCGAATAATAAGAAAATGAAAAACATTGTATTCTAAAGCCTGGCGCCTCCGCGATATAATGACGTACAGGTCTTGTTCCCGCTCAAACGTCCCCCACCCCCTACCTACCTTCCGGGGCTTAGCGTCCCCGCGGCCCGGTCGTCGACCAGGCCTCCTGGTTGCTGGACTGATCAACCAGGCTGCTCGCAGCCTGACGCACTACTCACAGCCTGGTTGACCAGGTATCCCTTGGCGCCTAACCTACCTGGAGCCTGGGGATCTGTCGTTGACCGAATCATCGTGGGGCAGGATCTTGCCTAGTAGGGCCTCCGTGTCGTTCTTGTACACGACGGGATGCACCTGTAACGACCATCAGCGTTAGTGGGTATGTTGACCTCATGCTCCCGATGTGTCAAGGTACTACATACCCTGTAACCTAGATATAACATGAAATTTTGGATATCGGCTGATTTTATCATTCAGATTCTCTCATATGTAACTGTGGGTGAAGAGCGAGCTCTTGTGGGTGGGTGGGGGGGGGGGAGATTGAGTGACTGATGGTTCGGCGAGAAGACTGGTCGTTTAAACTGCTTCCTATGAAGGTTCAAGACGCAAGAAAAACAAACCATCACACAAACATTGCTGAAACCCCCCGTGAGAATCGGCCCAGATAACAGACTGCGTCAGAGCCGGAATAGCGCCATAAAGGCGTGCCAGTGCCTCTTTAATTACCCATTTAATGGGATCGTAAGGCTGGAGGGAAGGGGGGGGGTGGAAGGCGTGGAGTGGCAGCCCACCTGTGTCACCTGTCACTCGCCTACATAAACCGAAGAGCAGCCCCTATGCCTCTTCCTCAAACCCTCACCTGTGGGGAAACCCTTTGCGTATGACCCTATTTTCTCCCTTTCCCTTGCTCGCTTCGCCCCCTGCCCCTCTCACCATGTTCCCATGCTCCCCTCTGCCCCTTTCTCCTTCCCCTCACCATTTTCCCGCCCAAAAACACACTGCCTCCTCGCCCGCCCCCTTCCCCGTCTCCCACCTCTCGCCTTTCCCTTATTTCCGCCCCTTTTCCTTACCCCCCCCCCACCTTTTTCCCTGTCCCCCTCCCGTTCCCCTGCACTTCTCATCTCACCTGTCCCCCTACAGAGAACTAATTATCTAAATAATTACAGTAGATATGTAAAGCCGAAGCAATGTTAAGCTAGTTAACTCTTGCAGAATACCTGCACTTTTGATCTCAAACTTATTATTTGTTGAAATATTTGTTGGGGGAGAGGGTGACTGACAAAGATTAAGCCACCCAAGAGGTGGCACGGGCATGAATAGCCCGTAAAAGGAGAGGGTGGAGAGAATGGAGATTTAGAGACAAGACACTAACGCACAAATGATGCACGATAACAGCTTAGTTAATTTAGGAACATCAGAGCTCATGCCAAATCCTATCTCAAAGAAAGCAAGATTTGAAATATATATAAACCGGAGAAATACCTTGAGTACTGTGTCAGAACTGAAATTTTTTTTTTACCACTTACGGGCTATTCATGCCCGTGCCACCTCTTGGGTGGCTTAATCTTCATCAATCATCCATCTTGAGTACTACATGTGTGAGTACAGCTCTCAGCGTCATACTTACCCCAGGCATGCCTTTATATATGCATGCCATTATGTAAACCTTTATGAAAATCTTAATATTGTTGCTTATCTGATTAGATCTTTAGTCATTAACGAGCTAATTAGCTCACTGATCACACAAAAATTAGCAACTAAGCTTACTCTGACAAAGTTATTCTTTTCTTCAAATTACTCAAGGGGAAGATCCGATATGCAGAAGAGGAACATCAAAAGTCAATTTTCTAGAGATTTTCACATGACTTGCATGTGCTAAGATGCCGAGATGATGAGTTCAAATGAAAAACCAAATTCTTTTTTTTTTTCTCCCCAGAAGTCTTAAGACTTAATTCTCGTGTAATTCAAAAATGCAGCATTATCCTAAATACTCAACATCTAGCTCTTAATACTAACCGACACTATCAGTACACTTATCACGAGCTGCTATCATCATCTACCACTATTACAACTTTGTGTCATCACCTGCATCTCATTAACATGTTAATCACCACCTACAAGTTTTCAATATTTAATTACCTGAGATTTCTCGATACTGTTCTCAAACCTAGTCTTCGCCTTGAGTGTGTCTCATCACCCACAAATTAACAGGAAAATGTTTAATCATTGCTCAGCACGCTCATATTTCTCATTACCTGGCACATTCCAATAAACATGATAAATGCTATGAAGCATTACCTGGTGAGCATGCCACATGACATCCATGTCGTAACAGGGGACCAGGAACTGGTCCGGACAGGCCTTCTTCAGTGCCAGGAACTGCCTGTAGCGTCGCTCACTGTACCTCAGGAAGCCCTTCGACCGGTGATGAGGAAGACACACCTGTCAGGGAGAACACACATGCACTTGTTCAGTCAGGTGTATGCAGCATACATCACTAGCAGCATAAGACCATTAACAGGCAAACCATGCACACACCACCACAGCATATCACAATTACAGTCCGTCACTTCCAGCAGCATATGTGACTAATTCAGAAGAAAAAGTCTAACCTCATTTGCTACCAGAACTGTGTACCCTGATATGGTTCCTTTATCATTGGTAGTTATTTTGAGAGCACCACCACTTTATAGAAGCTTTGGTTTGACCTAACGAGGAGTTAGGTCAAACTAACCCCCTACATAGCTTGACCTAACCCCCTAGTTAGGTCAAATTAGGGGGTTACGTCGAGAGCTACATCAATTCCATCCCCAAGTATTATGGAGGTTTGTGCTCGAGTGGTTGAAAGCACATTGTTCTTGCAACTGCATACAATGTGCTCATGAGCAGGAGAATTTAACACTCCTGTCACTTCATGACAATGGAGTGAGTGATAGTGTGATATATTCGAGCACACTACAGTGCACCTTCCACAATTCAGCCTCTATATAACCGATCCCTCTAAGCAACGCTACACCTACCTGATAGAAAAATGCTCCCTGTCTCTCCACAGCAGCACGTAGGTCATACGAGATCCGAGACGTGGCAGTACTATCATTACAATTGACTTCCTGGTCGGTGGTAACGCTTGTTCTCCCATCCTCGAACAGAATTACCTCCCAGGGTTCACTGGGATACGCGGCCTCCCATAATTTCTTCCCCCTCTCCCGGGCTCTCTCCAAGCCCTGTTGTGAAGAAAAATGCAAACGAATTTGTCATCAGTAGTGGAATCATTTAATTTAATACATATCGACATCATTACAAAAATTAGCTTTATTATTAAGCATTATGACGCTGGAAACTGGATTTCTAACAAACCTTGCACGTTTTCACGATTTACAAATGAGGGAAACAACCTATACAAGGTTTCAGCTTCTAGGCCTTGAACCTAAGTGATTGTTTTGATACAGCAGCCAAGGTTGAGGCTTCCAAAAACATGCTTCACGAAGTTTAAAGGGTACTCAAGATGATTCAATAACTTTCTTGGGACAGAAACAATGATGAAATATGCAAACCATCCTTCAAAAATGTTAGAACCTGCAGTATTTATTGGTGAAGTGTACAAGGTATGGATTGTGTAATTTTTTTGTTTACATTGTATTTAATTTTTTAAGGGAAAAAAGTAAAAATGAAACCACAAACCTAATCTGTCCTAGGCCTAACATACAATCTTAAGCTCATTTCAATACATATATGCACTATACTAGGCCTAGGAAAAGTTACGTTTGGTTGTTGCCCAATTTATTAGGCCCTCTACAAAATTAATATCACAAAATGTGGACTCTGGGTGTAGCCGTTCATATTTTGTACTTTCATCCATAGTAACAGTGTGAACATTCTTAAGCGGCAGGTTAGGAAAATGAGTAAACCAAGGTGTTACTGCCATCATAAAACACAAGAACAAAGCCAGGTACAGCACGAGAGGCTAGGATAATAAGACAAGAGGGAGGGCAAGCTAGGAGTTGAAACCACGTAATTAAAAATCTAGACTGAAGAATCTAAAGATGATAGATGTTGGCTAGGACTCAGTATGGTGGGGAAAGTCTATCAGACACAATGACATCAACATCCTCTGACTAATACACCAACACTAAACATGCCAACACCAAATATGAAAAAAAATGTCACAAAGAGCCGGTTGGACAGCACGCTGGACTTGTGATCCTGTGGTCCTGGGTTCGATCCCAGGCGCCGGCGAGAAACAATGGGCACAGTTTTTCACCCTATGCCCCTGTTACCTAGCAGTAAAATAGGTACCTGGGTGTTAGTCAGCTGTCACGGGCTGCTTCCTGGGGGTGGAGGCCTGGTCGAGGACCGGGCCGCGGGGACACTAAAAGCCTCGAAATCATCTCAAGATAACCTCAAGAAGAGAGCTCAAGCTCTGAGTATATGATCCATAAGGTAAATGACTACACTTGGAGGAGGGAGGTGTTAATACCTTGGGGGTCATGAGTCTGTGAGGGACGCAGGTGCCGGTAACACTGAGACAGTCTTGGTGGTAGTGTTGTGGGGCCAGCATGTGTACCAGCCACACCCAGTGGACGTCCTCAGGGGGAGCAATGCCACTACTCTCCCCATGGCCAACCAGCGGCAACCAGCACTCCTCATACCTGCCAATATACATTGTCATCAAGAAATAATAACACAGATGAACATAAACTTTTCCATTTCCTTACTTTAACCAGAACAACTTTAACAGGTCTTCTATGTGGCATTGAAGTTAATTGGGATGTAATTAAAATTTCAAGCATTCAAAAATGTGAGAAGTTGACTCGCCTGCGAAGTGCTTGGGTGACAAGAGGACCCCGGTAGAGGGCTGGCTGACTATTCACACTAGCCAGGAACGACAACAACCTCCTGGCCGCACGCACCAAATTCACACCCACACGGACCTCCCGCACCTTGGGCTGGACCAGGGCACGAATGCCTCTGTTCTCATTCATCCTTTGGCTCGACGGCGAGAGGAAATTTTCCGAATATGGGGGCAAGTCAGGAGCACTTGGACCATAGGTGTAGATGGCGCCGTCAATGGTATCCACTGCTGCTTCAGATGGCACCAGTTCTTCTACAAATTGAGGACTGCTAACAACAGCTGACTTGGGTAGATTGTGGGGGTCATTGTGGTCAGCAGAGTTCATGGGTGACCCTTGAGATCCTGGTGTGGTGCCACCAAGGTCCTCTTCCTCGGCTATGGGTGCACTTGGGGCCAGCTGAGATGTCACCGGCTGTAATAAAACTATCCCATGACTAGAGTGTGTGTTGAAACCTGCATCGTCACCTATAATAGATTCTACAGGATCACTACTACTGGTGGTGGTGGTGGTGGTGGTGCTGCTAAACTCTGAAGGCTCGCAATCTACGGGGTCGCTGGTGGTGCAACTTTGCATCACTTCCCTCACTTCCGTCATTGATGCAGGGGGCGTCACAGCGGCCGCCGGGGCAGTCACAGGGGGCGTCACAGGGGCCGTCACAGGGGCCGTCACAGCAGCCGCCGGGGCCGCCACAAGGGGCGCCAGAGCGGCCGTCACAGGGGGCGCCACAGGGGGCGCCACAGGGGGCGCCACAGGGGCCGCCACAGGGGCCGCCACAGGGGCCGCCACAGGGGCCGCCGGGGTCACAATAGCGGACATATTGCAAGGTGGGGGAAGTGTTTGGGAGGGTCCATTGGTGGGGGTGGGGAGACTGCAGCAGATTGGGTTAATGGGCCGCATCAGTGACGACGTTCAAGGACCATGAGGTGATTGTCTACTGCACGGGACGTAAACACGGCGAGAAGAGGTCACAGCTCGGGTGCAGAGACTTGGGAGAGTAACCAAAAATATGTGGCGTCAACCTTCACATAATAACCAGGATCAGACGGGGCAAGCCTGTGTAAACACAAGGTCTGGGGTCGAGGCTCCAGCAGCTACAGTAGTCTGCCCAAATGCCGTCTCTTGGTGCATTTAGAGTGCGTAGCAAGCCTCTTCTATGGTAAACAAAACCAAAAGTATTTTGTCAAAAAGCAACGCACTTTCCGAGGATAAATCAGCATATAAACACAGCTAGCTCAAGGTACGAGACAACCAGCATCAACCATTGGTGCACATTATTGTAGCTCTTGATGAAAGTGAAGTGTGCTCGCGGAAGCAAAACTGTGCCAGTAGTGAAGAGATTAGTGCGCCTAGCGTCACATCCGTAATTGTGTATGTAGGTACAATACCAGGAGGAGGAGGAGGAGGTGATTCAGACGGAACAGGCAGACACCGACGACGCCTGGCACTGAAGAGGACGGAACCTGCAAGAAACCAGATCAGTTAACCACGGTACCAAGATACTGTAACTTTTATTCTAACTTCCAATTGAAAACAAAGTTCATTCATAGATGTTCATAATACAACTACTAAGTAACACCGACAATAATACTCACTTATTTTATTACAAGACAATTCAGTAATAAAATTAATTAGCAAAAAAGTCAAAATAAAGTAGCCAGAGTTTGATACATGGGAATTAGATGGAGACTTTTCGCCATTTTATTTATACAGAAAAAGATTTTTTGAAAAAACATAGTTTTAACTCCATACCTCCCCATCCATTTTAAGTCTAGAAAAAATAAATTTTAATATCATTTCCAGAGCAAGGAATTCAGAGAGCAGCCTAGTGTGGAAAGACTGTGAAAAGGTTATAACATCCCCAAGAGTCACCAGAGCACACAGAAATCACAATAGCGTGATGCATCAAATGAACAATTCCACAAGGGTTCGGACGTAGGTTCGAAGCCTCGTCACGGCCCTTGTGGATCTGTTCAGTCACCAGAGTATTTGTGCGGCGACTCTTCAAGACCTACATCAACCTGGCGGCTTAGTTTAGTAAACAATTTACGAGCTTGGAAACATTACGAGGTCGTGCTTTACCCAAGGTTGCTATTGTAATAGACAACCTCTCAGTGCTTCTGAACTCGTAAACTGTTTACTAAATGCAGACTAACATTAGCATCACCGTACACCACCAACCCCCTCCCCATATACACTCTACATCCCCCACCACTCACTGCTCCTACTGATTTCCCCATTCATACATCAATGTGGTTTCATTGTGCATTTAAAAAGCGTTGGAGGTGAAAATCCTGGGGAGGGCAATGCATGAAACCGTGTTTGGGCGTCAGTGGAAGGCTCAGTACCCCTAGAAGATTCTGGCGAATCCCAGGTTGCATTCCTTTTGAACTTGTGGTGGTGTAGTGGTGTAGTGGTCTAGGGCGTATCCTTCAGAGTACCAAGTGCGCGGGTTCGAATCTTCTTCGCGGACCCTACTCATTTTTCTCAAAATAGCTAGACCTCAACTCCCAGTAGTTACCGATAGGCTAGTACTAAAACACCGCCCGCCCGCCCCACTTTATGACGGAAGCCTCATCGCCCGCCGACTCCCTAGCCGCCCACATCCGCCTCAGCCTTCCTGACACGAAGATAAACATTTGTGCTAGAGCAGTTCAGTGGCCAAGGCAACTGTTGGCTTCTTGGACAGAAGAGCAGAGCCACAATTTGTGGGAGCAGAATATCATACACTTCTTTACTGTTCATTAAAAAACCTTCAATATTACAAATCCTCCTTAGAACATCAATTGCACATAAGTGAGTTGAAATAAAGGCATGACATGCTTCAGTAAGCCTACCTACGTACTGATCAAGGGATATTGACTGGCGTTCACATGTGGAAATGGCAAACGAGGTTTGCCATTTATATATTTATGGAACTATAGTGCCATATAGTTCCTAGAGTACTGCCCTGCCCGAAACGCTTTGCGTAATAGTAGCTTTAGGCATTGTATGTACTTGTTCTATCTATAAATCCATCAACTTTTGTATTTCACCTTGTATGTATGTACTTTACCTGAATAAATATTTGTATTTGTAGTAGAGGCGGCATATCCAACTAGCGAGTAATATGGGCAAACCTTCATGTTAAATTTATTGCTCCAAAACAACGTGAGCTCATACACAGCCCTGCTCCTGTGCCAGGTAAGTCCACTACGGGCTCACCATAGCCCGTGCTACTTAGAACTTTTGTTCTGAGTAGCTGAATCTAAAAAACAACAACGCGAGGTATTGAAACGCCATATTCATAAGACCTTCCCTACAAATGATAGCTTGTTGATCTTGGGCATTAAGGACAATAGCTGTGACCAATGTACTGAATTAAGAATATGCATATATTTTATTTCAATAAGCAGAAAGTTGTTCTTGTAAACTGGATTACAGAAACTTAAGAGCTTTATGTGGACCAAGTATTAGAGTCGAGTTAATGAGGTTTTTAATCTTTCATTGACATAAAATGCAATAAAATTAAAAATATATTAATTATGCTACTTTCTGATTGTAATTTTGTGTGTGTGGATAGGCAGGCAGGAGGGTTACTCGGTACACAGTATTGAAGTTCTTGCGAGACAGGATCGGGTATAACATTTGGGGTTTACGGCTCATGCTCGGTGATACGAAAAATTGGTTTACCGAGAATTTTATAAAATATATAAATGTAGTATTTTCCCTTGTAAATTTATGTAAATATGATCTTTATATTGTATGTTACTTAATAAAGAAAAAAATCACATCTCAATTACTCAACCACTCATTCAGCATCTTAACCTAAACGTTACGAACGTATTTGTCAATGGTGTTATTTGGTGGTGGTTTCAGATTTAGCTACTCAGGACGAAGTGTCCATGTAGCACGGGCTATGGCGAGCCCGTAAGTGGAGGCTCTTTGGAGCCATTATCTGTATCAGTGGCTGATACTAGAGATTTGGCGATGGATGGGGGTCTTCATGATGGTTTTCAGCCTGGAGGGCTGGCTATACCAGTTATGGAGCTGGTGGGGTTAGTGTAGACCTCTAGGTTTTCCGTTTTTTCTTTGCGCCATTTGGTAGTTCCCCTCTTCTTTCTAGCCCCGTCCCTCCCGACGGAGCCTCTCCACATCACCATCGATCCCCAGAAGAGCCCCCCCCCCCCACGACAGATCCACTCAACAGGCTACCTTTCAGTCTCCCACAAGAGGAGAGGACGGACACTCAACACTTCCCCGAAGTCTGGGGTCCTCTACCACGGCGCTACTCCACCTACTTAACACTTGGGCCTTGATAACCTGCATTTTAAATACAGACAACCGTCAAAATCCTAAAAGAACGGCAAAAATTTGGACATTGTTACGCTCTCAAGTCGGCTGGCCCACCGACTTGCTTCTTTCTACAATCATAATCAAATTTCAAGAAAAAAAATAAACTTCCGATTCAAAAAAAAGTGTCTTATCTTGCGAATATTTTGGGGCTCAATGTCTCCGCGGCCCGGTCCTCGACTAGGCCTCCTGGTTGCTGGACTGGTTACATTTACTGACGAAATTTATCTGGTGCAGTAACGAGACAATTTGGGCTGCATCAACACCTATCTTGAGTTATACCGCCATTTTCTAGTACGACGATTTTTGGCCTTAAGAGTACGTCGAAATGCGAGGCTGTGTTAGGAGGACGGGTTGACGCCTGACAGCCACGGTAATGTAACCAATAAAAATACCCCCTCCCCTCGTCACCAGCACACCAGCCTGCCCTCGTGACCATTTCCAGCGACGCTCCACCCACACAAGCAGAGAATGACGGCTCAATAACGCCGGCAACGCCCAAGCACAATGCTTAAACTATTTTAAACTACAGAAAAGGATCAACCGAAATGATATACGTACGAACAACAATAATAAATTATACACAATATATTTCACAATTGAAGCATACAAATAATGTTATGAACAGAAGTTAAATCATTTTGAAAACACGGTAGCCTAACTTCCGGAGAGAGAATTAAGGAGAAGCCGTAGGAGGAGGAGGATTCGAACCTGCACACTGGGTACTTCTAAGCACACGCCTTAGACCACTTCGCCACGACAGTAAAAAAAACATTGCAACCTGGGATTCAACTGAATCTTGAGGCTAATGTTGAGGCTTCCACTGACGCCCAATTAGGGTTTCATATATTGACATGTCCAGAATCCGATTCATTTATGTATTATACCCCCCCATACCCATCCCGTGGGTGGTGGTGGAAAGTGTACCAGAGGCACATAATGGGTTCAGAAACTGAACCCAATCGTTTAGCCAAGCAAGTGAATCCTGTGTAGTTACACAATTGTTAATATTCATACATAAATACATAAATAAATGTACACAAATACATAAATAGTCTTATATCAAGTGATTCAGCAAAAGAATAAACTGTCTATCCAACTTCCAGAATTGCTACTATCAAGATAAAACGTTTTAAAAGTTCAAAATATTGACAGAAAACAAAAGTACTATTAAACTATATAACCAAATAGATGCGTGAACTAAACAAATCTACATCTTCTAAAAACACAACACAAACCAAGTTTCCCGCCAACAAGATAAAAGAAAACAAGTGAGCATCCATAATTTTTCCCGCGCTTTCCCCACAGAGGATCGTGTCGCGGCCATTAGTCCCCGACAAAATTCAAGAAAACAGGTATATGTTACGCCTGGCAGCCCTGTTGATAGCGGCGACGGCCATATATCTAACCGTTGAGGTGCCGGGAGCCCGGTAAATATGGCCTTGGGATATTTACCGAGTATAGGATACATATGGCAAACTCTGAGGGATGTGGAGTTTGTGTTATGGATGCGAGGGGGAATAATCTAGATGCAAGATACTTGGTACAAGGCCAGATCGAACATATATTTTTACCATTTCGGACAAAACCTCCCTTCCCTCTCTTCAGAGGGAAAGACAGCTGTGGGAAAAGTGTGTGAAATATGAAAGAATGCCTGGTCGAGGACCGGGCCGCGGGGACACTAAAGCCCCGAAATCATCTCAAGATGACCTCAAGGGTGCTAGAGCAAGACAGCGAACCAGAGAGGAAGACAAAGCCTGTCTTTACCCATGGAAGAGAAATAATGTCACAAACGGTATAGAGCAGCACATCACAAATGTGAAAACGAAGCTTTGCAAATTAATCACAAAGTTCTTGAATGGGTTGACCACTATTATGTTATCGGGTAATAGATGTGGGATCACTATTGTTTCAAGCGTAGGGAACGCATATATAACTGACTTTGGGTGGATATAATTGAGAGCTGAACAAATCCACAAGAGCCGTGACGAGGATTCGAACCTACGTCCGAGATGAGCCCATTATTATTATTATTACCATCTTTATTGACAAAATTAATTACAATTTTGCCTAATCTGAGGATTTTGATAGTCTTATTAAATTGAGGATAATGCTAGTATTCAATGTCACGCAGGACAGAGGGTCATACATAAGACAATAGGTCTAAACTGTAGGCTGAAGTACATATATATCATGATTACAATCAATGTTTTAATGTGTGGATATGTGAAAACAACTTTCTATTGTGCACTGCCACACAAGGACAGGGATGGGTTTATAAGTGATACAGCTTAGAATATAAATAAAAATTGTTCTTCATTCTTTAAAATGGACAAGCAAATTTTGGGTAAATTGTTAGGATGTCGTCCAGAACACCTGAGTCAATAAAATAGTTACACAGTTGGTGGTACAATAGGCCAGGAGGTCTAAAGTCCTTTACGGTTTCACATTCATCAATATAGTGTTCTAGTGAATGCATTAAAGGTTTATCACAGAGTTTACAATCTGAATATTCTGGTAGTGGCTCAGCCTCACTAACCTGCCAGATGTGTCTATAGCCAAGGCGAATTCGCGCAATTACTACATCACATTGCCTGGTCCGATTACTGTGCTGACCATACAAATACCTATTATTACAGAACTTGACATAACTTTTAATACTGCAGCTTTCAGGTCTCTGTGCATTTCTTAGTTCTTCTAAATCTGAATTAATTTCTTTAATTTGTATGTTTCTAATAACTGCATTAGATAGTCCAAAGTCATAATCAATGTTTTCTTTCCTGCAAGCCTCATTGGCCAATTGATCTACAAAGTCATGTTTTTCAACTCCAACATGGAGATGAGCCCAGACACTGCCTTAATCGACTGAGCTACGCTCATTGATGCATCACGCTATTGTGATTTCTGTGTGTAATTGAGAGCCGCTTCGTTTACGCCATAAGGCACGCTACAGTTGCCTGAATTCTTAAGTACCTTTGGGCTACTGTTGATTCGTGTAAGGAAACCAATTTACAGAGACGTGGAAACCTCGTGCCTCGCAGGAAACGTGGTGGACCTCTGTGCCCAGAGCACCATGACCTGCAATGGTAATGTCATCCATGCACGTACTAAAAATGGTGTTCCACAGCATTACCGATCTTACAGTCTCCGTGGTGTAGTGGCAAGACACTTGCCTGGCGTTCCGCGAGCGCTTTGTCATGGGTTCGTATCCTGACCGGGGAGGATTTACTGGCCGCAATTCCTTAACTGTAGCCTCCGTTTAACTCAACAGTAAAATGTGTACTTGGATGAAAAAACGATTCTTCGCGGCAGGGGATCGTATTCCAGGGACCTGCCCGAAACGCTACGCGTACTAGTGGCTGTACAAGAATGTAACAACTCTTGTATATCTCTCAAAAATTGTCTGGTCCGTCCCAGACCATGCTGCCGAGCAACAACTTGGGGCGTGTCAAGATCACCAGCAAGTAACAATGCTAGCCATGCTGTTTACATTGCTATTTGAAGTGATAAATGCGTCTGTGGGGTTGGCCGCTCCATTGACGAGCCTAGTTGTGTGTAAAGTGAATTCAATTCATAAACAGGGGTTTTGGCGGCTGGATTACCAAACATTTAGCCACTGTTTGAGGCCAGGCTGTTGACCTCATGAAGCTCCTGCTTACGTGGGCTGCAATTTAACCTTTGTTTATACAAAAGATGAAGACCGGGCTGAGGCGCTGTTGTGCTCGATAACCAAGAAACTAAAACAAATCCAACATACAAAAAAAAAAAAATAACCCGCCAGGGATACAGTATCAAATTGTATAGATCCGTTAATAGAATGCCTCCTTCCCCTCCCATAAGAACTGAAGAATAAGCGAGCTTACGGAAAGAAAAAAGTATAAAAAAAAAAAAAGTTTAATTTAATTAACATATGATTAAAGTGGTCAAGACAAGCAGGTCTTTACTATTACAGATCCTCAATGGCAATGGTTCAATGGCCTAATTGGCTCCCATTACCCTCTTCGCCAGACTAGACGTAATCACCAGTCCTATTAAGTACCGGTCACCTGGTTTTGCTGTACATGTAGATGCCCAGCAACAGAACAGTTTAAAAAAATCATTTATTTATCGACAGATACAAATCAGCTACCTACATCCGTTGAGAATGATGCCATTTAAAATTTAAAATTATTTAAATTTAACTAATAACTTATAAGATTTAAAATAAAATAAGCAAATAAAATACTTAAAATAAATCCGATTTAAAATAAGCACAAAGAAATATAAACATACCTTGTAAAATTGCAGTACACATGTAAAACAAATAAAAAGCCCTTAAGGTCCGCACAGAGAATCTGCTAGAATCATCACCGACTTCACATTACACACATTGCCGTTTAAAATAATTTAAAATTATTTCTCTCCCAACCTCAACCCCCGCAAATCCAACTAGGTGAATACACAACGGTAGCCTAATCACAGGACGAGTGACGCTCCCCAATAATATGCCTCGGAACAAAAGTCAAATTAACTTGTGGTAGGATTCTGGTGGACCCAGGGCGTGCGAGGGCGGGTCAGGGGCAAGGAACAACACACAGGGTAAACACATCTATTGATTGTTGAGTAAATACACACACACACACACACTAATGTCCCCTTGCTACACTACATTTTCTCACTATTACTTTATTCGCTCTGGCTCGCTCGCGCACCCACTGGTTCCACCATATCCTCTTGTGTACCCTCTTAAAACTTCAGTCATCTGGTCGCCCTTAAAAATCTTCCTCAATCAATACCCCCATTCTTGACCTCCTTCCTCCAACCCAACCCAACCCCCCCACCTTCCTCACCATCGCCCTCGTTACTTTATATTCTCCTATCCCTCCCAGGCATCACCACTTATCTCTACCCGGCAGTGCCCGGGACACTTCCCCTCTATCCCCCCCTCCATTCCACCCGTCTTCCCACTCCTCCTTCCCTCATCTCCCCTCCAACCTCGAACATATAGAAGGTGTACCAACATGCACCCGGTTCTCTTCCCTACTCTTTTATAACTATCTGCGGGCTTACCATAGCCCGTGTTACTTGGAACTTTTTGTTCCAGGTAGCGAATCTTTAACAACAACAACAACCCTACTCTTCACCCCATCTCTTAACTCCCATGTCCCCAGACTACTTGTGGTTGACCCACTGTTGATGTGACTATGTCCATTGAATTTTTAACTAGGTCATCAAGACTAAGTGATTTGGCCAAATTAATTTTTGGGTTCGGTCCCTGAGCCCATTGTGTGCCTCTAGCATGGAGTCCATACCGTGTCAAGCACAAGAAGCTGGAGAGAATTCAAAGGTACGTCACTAGACTACTCCCAGAACTAATAGGCACGAGTTACGAGGAAAGGCTACATGTATTGCACCTTACGTCGCTGGAAGACGAGAGTTCGGAGACATGCTCACTACATACAAAATTCTAAGGAGTTGGCAGGGTAGGTAGAGACATTATTTACCACGTGTGGCACTCACAAGGGGGAACAGGTGGAAGAAGAGTTCCCAAATGAGCCATAGACATTAGAAAGAACCTTTTCAGTGTCACAGTTAAGAAATAAAATGCATTAGGAAGTGATGTGGCGGAGTCTGACTCCATACAGTTTGAAATATAGATATGATAGAGTTCAATAAGCTCAGGAACCTGTACACCAGTAGATTGACAGTCGAGAGACGGGAACAGAGTCGAAACTCAACCCCCGCAAGTACAACTAGCTGACTACAACTCTACGAGTACTCAAATTCCCCGCCACCGCCTACTTTTATTTTTTTAAAGAAAAGGAAATCCGCTGGGTTGTTCATACTGTCACTTGTGCCTAATATCTACATGCAACAGTTTTCCTAGTTCAATGTGGAGTTTATTGTTCTACACATTTCTAATAACTTAGATGTTCACATTCTCTCAGGTAGTGGTCAAGGCCGTGTCCATCACTCACTACAGATTCTACAACGCTTCTGCTCTACTGTTTCCATTCAAAATCTCCATGGATATATTTTTATCCAAGACGATTCTCGCTCTTACCGTTTCTCTCCCCCGGCCACCACAACCTCGTCCAGTGACTTATGCCAGCAGTAATCATACTCTACCACCTCCAGGCAATGATAAACTTAAGACATGTTCGTTATAACAAGAGGTTCACACATTCTACTACCAATCCAGTCAATCCTCTACAATCCTCTAAGCTTAGCAGCATGTATAACCACGTTAAATCACTCACAAAGTTTCCCTGTATGACAAAAATCGGTAATCACTCACAAAACTTGTTCCTTACCTTTTAAGTTGCCTATACTTCGTCAGCCACTCGAGATTTATAAGCTGATAGTCTCTGAACTAGTAAGGAAGGCTTGCACGTCCTAGAGGGGCTTGTATAATGTTTGTTTACATGGAGTGTGCAGACCACACCTAGCCAGCTGAGTGAGGCACAGCTGGGAGGGAGCCAGCTGGACCAGACGTCACCCCACCTCGACCTCTACCGTCAAGCTGCCAGTTGCTGCCCTGCTCCACCCCTCGACCCCCCGCCACACTTGCCACACATTTCCTTCATCCCAACTATTCATATCTATACCTCCACCTGGCTCATTCACATCAATTTCCACAATATTTTACATTACCTATGTCATATTTCCACCCGTTTATATGTGTATAATCAGGGAGTAGACGAATAATTTACACCAAGCATAAATAATAATACTAAATTGGCATGCCTTCATAGTGGAGTTGCCACCGAATATTATTTTTCCCACAATATAGTGAATACCTTAAAGGTATTTAAGGTACACAAGCTCAGTGACTTGTCAATCATAATTATTAACAACCTAAATTAACACCCAGGAAACTATCGTACAGTGGCAAGTTGTTATAGAAAGAACCGTTAAAATTATGTAGCGTAACTCTTGCCAAATACTAAATTTAAATTCTTGCATTTTCGCGTTATAATATTTCATCACATGCTTCAATACATACATCAGTATACTTGTACAACACCGTGACCTGACAATGGGTATACTGGGTACTGGGTATACTGGCACTAGCACAGGTAGGCACAGTAAGTGGCGGTCAAAAGGCACAGGGGGACATATGTCAGTTTTGACAGCTCACTGACAGGAACCTTGACAGCCCACTGACAGGAACCTTGACAGCCCACTGACAGGAAGCTTGACAGCCCACTGACAGGAAGCTTGACAGCCCACTAACAGGAAGCTTGACAGCCCACTGACAGGAAGCTTGACAGCCCACTGACAGGAACCTTGACAGCCCACTGACAGGAAGCTTGACAGCCCACTGACAGGAGGCTTGACAGCCCACTGACAGGAAGCTTGACAGCCCACTGACAGGAAGCTTGACAGCCCACTGTCAGGAAGCTTGACAGCCCACTAACAGGAAGCTTGACAGCCCACTGACAGGAAGCTTGACAGCCTACTGACAGGAAACTATATACAGCTGTTGACAAACGTTTTATAGATGAAAAAGAGAGCGGAAAATACGTATAAAAGCCAGATATTGTACATTATGAACAGTCTGAAAGTTATCAAAAACTCTACAGGCTCAAAGTTCACCAGATAACAGTGATTCATACACAGTATACAAAATCCTTCATAAAACCTATAACTGTGGGATCATTGAATAATGTATACACATGTCATGAATAATATAAGCCAGCCCAGCTCTACATTTAAGTTAAAGACATTATATAACTAGCGAAATACTATTAACTGCGGTGCAATTAACTATTGTCAGAGGGAGATAGTGAAGCTGTCTTCTGATTGGTCGCTCACCCCTCGTCACGCGTGTAATAATAAAAATAACTAGTAATAAAAGTAATAATAGAATAATATTATTATTATCAATACTAATGATAATAATAATAAAAACTATTAATAATAATAATTTATTTGTATGATAAACAAATGACCAAATTTAACACAAAAAAATGTGTTAAATTAGGACGTAATTAATGCTATATATATATATATATATATATATATATATATATATATATATATATATATATATATATATATATATATATATAACCAGTACTAGAACATATAAGTCTGCCAATACACTCTACACTGTATTGCTTAAAAACAATACACTGTAACCTCCTCTGCTCATGTCCTCTATATGGTCCTTCGGCTCACAACCGCGAGGTCCAGGGTTCGATCCCCGGACAGGACAGAGACAGTTAGGTACGCTGATGCCTGTCTTCACCTATCAGTAAAATAGTTATCTGGGAGTCAAACAACTGTTGTGGGTTGTATCCTGCGGGGTAAGGTCAGTAGTTGACCTAAGGGGGGGGGAGGACCTTGATAAGCCTAACTAGCTTTTTATCCCCCACTATGGGAAACCAAAATATTTTATCAATGGAAAAAAAATGCATATTTCAATACGTTAAAATGTGTATTCCTTCACACTTTTGCAAGAATTTTAAATTGAATTCCACAAAATGCTATAAATAGTCTTTAATGGGGAGTGTATGGGATGTAATAAACATATAACGCGAGCATCGAACCCAGGCACCAAGTGTTATATAGCCTCGCGCTCAGGGCATTCCACACCTCGTATGGCAAGATTACCCCACGACGAAGCGAAAGTTGGAAATATATGGTGGACATGCTAATGGAAGAGTGAGAATCACAATGACTGCAGAGGTGGGGCGAGGTCATCCCCTAGTGGGTCTGCCGATGACCCCGGATGACCCCACTAAACGAAGAACAGACGAAATCAGTCTGTTTCGCCAATATTGGTCTATCACCAGTGGACCCCAGGTGGCCGACGACCCCACTCGTGAATAACTCAAGTTCAAGTATGTTTATTGAGACAAGAATGAAATACATCTGAAAGGGATAGAGTAGCTTAGGCTATTTCTAACAGCTGTCTAACTCCCAGGAACTCTCATGGGTATATCCAACATATATGCCTAAATATTTATATATATTAACTCTCTCTATATTTTTATCGTTTATTTTCAAAACAATGGGGCTCCGACTTCTACATTCAAACTTAGTTTTGTTTTCATTAACCACCAATCCCATATGGTGACACAGGTTTCCGAAATTGTCCAACACTGTTTGAACCTTTGAAATATCTTTGCCCTGAAACAAAATATCATCGACATATATGATCGGAGTTACCCCATTTGAGTATCTCTCAGATGCTATCTTATTCATTAGTACATTAAACAGGGTGGGACTCAACACTCCTCCCTGAGGTGTGCCGAGTTCAAAAGACCTCACACCTGACATACAACCTTGATACCACACCTGAGCCTTCCTTTCGTAAAGATAATCCCCTATCCAGCGCAATAATTTCCCTTTAACTCCAAGACTAGCTAATTCATATAAAATAACCTCTTTGTTGGCTTTATCAAAAGCTCCTTGTAAATCAATGAAAATTCTATAATAATCATTTTCATTAGCTAGACATTTAATAATACAATCAGAGGTACTTGTTCCTTTGAGGAACCCGAACAAATTACTAGACAGCTGATCACCTATTATATATAAAAGTCTATTTAAAATGATCCTCTCCATCATTTTACAAAAACACGAGGTTAAAGACACAGGTCTATACTCTCCATTGGCTTTAGGGATAGGGATGATCATAGCTTTTTTCCATTTACTGGGAATACTGCCCTCTTTATAACTAATATTAAAGAGGTCTAAAAGTGGGCTTTTCGTCATAGTGGCAAGTTCATTAAGTATTTCATAAGTTACTCCATCCTCCCCAGGTGCGGTAGATTTCCCAACTTTAATCGCCGTTATTAGTTCTTCTCTGGTAATACCTGTGCAAGTGACATCACCACTGTTACCTGTTATAAGTATAAAATCCTTTCTTAGATCTTTCCAAGAATCTAATGACTCTCTCGTTACAGCGGGTAATGAACTAAGTTTGGCAGCTTCCGCCCATTTATTTACGAGCCCATTTGCAATTCCTTGCGGGTCTGGATGTGCAACAAAATTGTGCTTTTTACCCCTTATTTTATTTACGTCTTGCCAGATTTCCTTCAAGTTTCTGTTACTCCCAACTTTCTCTGCAAATTCCTGCCAATACTTGCTCCTAATTTCCTTTCTCTTCTCCCCACACAGCCTAGCAACTGCCAGTAAAGCATTCTTCCCTTCCTCAGTCCTACCATTCCTATTCCAATCCCTGTGAGCTCTTCTCATTGTTAATGTCCACCCCTTAAGCATCTTGTCATGTGTATAATTTTCTTTTCTGGGGGGATGCCTTTTTATACTAGATGGTTGACTTCGGCAGGCAGGCGGTTCCATGGGTTTATAACCCTGTGGGTAAGAAAGTGTCTCCTCCTCACACGGGAGACATCTCCCGTCACTCAGTGTGCAGTCGCACCTCCACAGATCTCCAGTATGACACTGGTAATGGCTCAAAAGGGCCACCACTTACGGGCTATTCATGCCGGTGCCACTTTTTGAGTGGCTTAATCTTCATCAATCAATCAATCATCCAAGCGTCTCCTGTTGTCAGTCTTACACCGTGGCTTGATGAGCTTGAAACAGCTGCTCCTTGTCTGCGTTATATCTCACTTTCTGAGGAAGTTGTCTGGATCACCGTCCTCCAAATTGTTCAGTAATAGTGAAATTTTGTACGTTTGACCAAATGGTTGCTATAAGCACTATCTTTTAGTGAGACGGGCTGCAGAATGTCTATCATTAGCTCGACGCTATGTATATCCTGCTGCACGATCTTTCCTTCCTTCGAGGATACATCTATCCTGCTTGTAGGACCCGTCCTAGTCTCTCTCAGATGAGGCTTCATGGGGCATAGATAGGAACCAGCATTGTGGCTGCTGCAACAAACTGGGACGATTTTTTCACTTTTTTCAATCTTGACTCTACACTCTCGCGAGTCGTGTTTCTTACCACAATACCGACACCTGGGGTCAAACTGGCATTTCTATGCCATATGTCCCCAACGTGAACACTTCATGCATAATATGGGCTCCTCAATGTATTTTGCAACTTTCCTGTAGCTTAGTCCTTGCACAAAAATTCTTTCCGGCGCCTCACCCTTTACCAAGGCAACAACCTGGCTTTGTTTGTCACCACGAACACTGTTCCTCTTTACCCATACAACACTATCATTGTTGAGAAGAAGACAATCAGGATCCAAATAAGTTGGATACTTAAAAACTATGATCTTTGTGTGCACCATACCTTCTTCCGGAGTAACCAACACAATGTTCTGAAAACCAACCGTCGTGAGGCGTTCCACGGCCTTTTCTGTCCCAACTGTTATGCAGGGCCGGTGAAAACCCTCCTTGAAGAGTGGTTCATATTCCATACACTCCTTAGCCAGACGTACCGTCCACTCCAGCTTTTGGTGGAAGTTCAGTCGGCATGTTGTAGGGAACAACAGCCTCTTCCTTCTATTAAATTGCTTCTCTTGAGTCTTGCTGAGTAGGGTTTCATTTTTTGGTCTCTTTGTTATTTCATCTTCACTCTCACTGTCTCTCTGTGAA